GCAACTTCATTTTTCCAAAACCTGAAGGGGGAAAGTTTTCAATTTATTTTTGTTTGTTCCAATTTAAGAATTTTATTTTGTTTGTCTAGTACTATTTGTTACTATTTTCATGTAACTTTTTTTTATAAATATGTAAATGTAAATTAATTCAATAAATAATGTTTATTTAAAATTGACATTGATTGTTTAATGAATTCAGAATGGGGGGGTAATATCGACTTACGCAATAATATTTTGGGGTAATGGTAATGGTTTAGAGTCACCAGAACCCCGGCTCGAAATGTTATGTATCAACTTAGGTCACCCTGTGACAGGTCGAGGCTTTCCAGGGTCGAAGTGGGAATTATTTCCCCTTCGATTTACTGGTTTTGCAGAGGTGTCAGCACCACTTTGTTGTAGATAGTAAATGATAATTATTGTAGATAGTAAATGATCCCACCGATATGTGGCAAACGGGTCGATAGGACCCAGCTAAATGTGAAGGGGTTTCCAGAAGGACACTCATTACCGGAAGAAGAAAAAGAAGAAGAAGAAGAAGAAGAAGAAGAAGAAGAAGAAGAAGAAGAAGAAGAAGAAGAAGAAGAAGAAGAAGAAGAAGAAATTATTAATCTTATTACTGCTGTTGTTATTTCTGATAAACATTTATGTCTTAAGTCAGACATAGCGTGGATGCAGCATTATGTTATAATTTGATAAAAATCAAGAATGAAATATAGGTTTATTTGAATTCATTTGCATTTCGAAAGCATTCATTTCGACGAGTAATTCATTGACAATACTCGTCGAAATGAATGGAATGCCAATTGGTTTTTCGCTCTGTGTATTTAACACTGCCCTGTTTTTCTACAGCCCGACGTTCCTGATGCACACAGACGAGTTAATTATAAATCGTTTATTGTTCCCAATGCTGCAGTTTAGTTTCGCGTCGAATTTGTTTCCACAATACCAATACTGAATGAACGACGTTCCAATCTAAATATGTCACAGAACAATCGCGCTGCCAGAATTGTTTTTGATCATTGCCCTATAAATAACAAAAATTGAACGGAAATCGGGGAAGCACCTAATGCTTAATATTATATAGTCATCTGTACATGAGTAAAGTGACTAAGAAATAAAATTTAAATGCAATTTCTAAGAAAATTACGAATTGAAAAACGAGCGCACTAAACCCGTGTATTTATTGAATGCCAGAATAATGTCCTAATGAAAGATCATGTACAACGCTTCGCATTTGTATCCTTCGTCTAAGCTTTATACGAAGGATTCCAGGCAGGCAGATTACACGCATTGAATTAGATTTATACAGCAATAAAGTCCGGAGGTTGAAACCCTGGTCCAAGTCTTAAACTAAGAATCTTGGATCACGCACCGTTCTGCTCATATTAATTATATCCTTCACCTGTCACGTATTTTAATATTGCAGACATAAAGTCTACGAATCTAACTAAAACACGATGTCTCATTGATTTATTATTTACAATTTAAACGTATGTTTCACGTTGTACTTAGACAGAAAATCGTTTCGTAATAAATAACGTTTACAAATTGGACATGTCACCCGCATTTGCTGATAGTTATTGGCTTTTACTACTACAATAGTCTTGTATTTTTATTTGAAAACTCAAATAGTACGCAATGTGTAAAAATAAATGTAAAAAAACAGTCGTGAATCACACGGAACGTGTAACAGTTTAACTTAAGACAAAAAATATTTTACTGAGAATTCCGGAAGCATAAAACAGCGAATTACTCGACTAACCTTGCGGTCGAGGAATTGAGGGACGAAAAGCGCGATTGGTAATTTACGCTCGATCCTCTTTTGGTGTGGTCCTCCGTTAATATAAATTGATGATGTTTTAGTGGGATTGGGGTGGATGCAGCAAGGATACCTCACAACGTAAACATCTTATAAATAGATGCGAGAAGGGTAAAGGAATGTAATTACGTACTCGTGTTTCTTTGAATGCATTGAGTAATTACTTGAGAGCTGTAACTGAAGTTAAATAACTTATGATTATGTTCGCGTATTCTGAGCTTTCCAGACTCGCCACTTCTAAGGCCATCCATTTTCTTTTATTCTGCTTTTCGCGTATTATGTAATACGCGTAGAACGACCTTCTTTATGTTTCACTGAATGTCTGGAAGTGTTACAGTACATGCACATAAATTATTTCAAATATAATAGAATTCTAGAACAATACTATTTGCTTCAACGTAGATTTGTACTTTTTTCATGCACATAATAGATTAACTTTTTTCAGTTTAATGTAGTTTTTTTTTTCAACAAATTCACTGAAATTGCAATGAAACAATACTTAATAATTATTGATTTATCAATTCTGCAGCAACGTGATAAAATTCGAGCAAGTTATGAAAGTTTATAATGATAATGTCTTGCACGAGTAAAGGGCGATGTCATGAGGCGCACGTGCCATAATTTCTGCTTTGAAGCAGATTTTTTTCTAAATCCTTTGTAGAATAGTGCACGTGTATTGCAACACATAATTTATCAGTTGAAATAATATTTTGTTAGATCATCAATTTTAATCATTACAAAATATATTTAATTCCATTTCTAAATTCACTCTAACTTTAAAGATTCTTTATTCAGATTATATTTCCATCTTGATTTAGGTGAAAAGTATCGAAGAAATATAAAGTTGTTATAGACTAAATAAGTTTGAAGACAATTTTGAAGTGTATCAAACACAGTAAAACTTTTGATATATTTATAAACACTAAATAAAGTAATATAAACAAATTCGACATTGTGGATAATGTTTTGTAGAATAACGAACTAAATTTATCTTTGGCAATTGATCATATTAGCCGCATAACATGTTTGTATTATGAAAAGACCGGTAGCGAATTTGAACGCAATTGCGGAAACATTGTGAATTATTGTGTACTGCAGAATGCATCTGGTGAGATTCGTAAACATGTTTAAGGCTAAAAAAGAAGCGAATGTTTAGAAAGTTAGTAACAACATTACTTGTAGTAGTCAATCAACGAAAGTTCGCCATAATATTTTCTCTTCGTTCAAGTCACCTCTATTAGTAAGTATTCATTACAGTTGACTTTGAGCTAATGGAAAAACATAGTGAATTAGTCAACATTTTTGAATGCCTACAATTTTACGCATCGTCTATTTACAGTTTCGCTTCATAAGTATACATGTGTTAAATTTGTATTAACGTTGTATTATATTTATTTCATATTTTTGTTGCAATAAATATTAATATTATTATAAAAGAAAACTAAATAATATATGACTTTAATGGTACATAAATGTATAAATTTGGTTGTGAAAAATTTAACGACTGTACTTATTTAGACTTTATATATTTTCATTATGTAAGAAAAGCTATTTGTCAGAATTGTCATTAATGATTTTAAAATTTGTCATTGTGATTGATAAGTTCATCGTTCGCTTTAAGGTCCGAAAAAAAAAATATTAATAATATAAATTATGTATTTGCCGCTCCAATTAGGTTGATAGGCATGACCAAGGTTTACAGTTTCACGCTCGCAATTATAAATAGCGGAAGGATGGATACAGGAGCGTTTCGCAGGAATGAAGAACAAATTACACGCAATTTAATTAAATCCAAGAGAATAATACAATAAAGTAGGCCGTTTCAGAAATAAATATGTATTATCGTGATTTACGAAGTGCTCCACAAAGTCCTGGCTCTCTCTCTCTCTTTCTTCGCGTTTAATTGCAACGTGCGGATTGAGGCGTGAAAGACTCGATGAAGGGGGAGGAGGTCATCCGAAGAGGTCCTTCGCATTCCTGTGGGATCTGGGTCCATCGGCATTGGATTTATTTCGGCTAATTAATAGATGAGACACGAGAAACAAGAACACACGCGAAAAAAAAAAAGAAGAGTGAGAGAAGAAACAAACAGGCAGAACAATAATAAATATGTGAATCCCGAATATTATAACTTGATTTATGCCGTTTCCCAACATCGGGGAACCTCGCGAACGTTCTGTTTACAATGGGTATAAGCATACTACGTCCCATCAACACGGGCCACAATCTATGTATCCGTTTATTTATTTCTTTATTCATCCATATCTTTTTCTTTTTTGTCCACTTCTTGGACTTGTTGATATTTATTTCTGATTATAAATGAATAGAAATAATTTCGGAGGTGGCTCTGGATGAAGAAGTTTCAGCAATGAGTGTGCGTGCAAATTTATAGATCAAGGAAATACAGCGAATAACTTGGCACTCGGTGACCGACGATAATAATTTTATGGTTCCCCTCGTGTTGTTCGCTTATTTCCAAGATTGCTAATTAACGTGTTTCGATTATATTTATTTATTTTCTCTTGAAAAATCTTATTTTTTTTTTTTTGCATTCGGTCTGAAAGTAATTAAATTGTTGCGGGAAGCTAAAACAAAATAAAATAAAAAGAATGCGATGGGCGCGCGCTTCTTCGCCGTTGCCATGACGATGCGTCGGTTATATATGGAGGCGTCGCGACGCTCCGACGTTCAGTCAACGCGCGTCGACGCTCGAAAACACTCGCACCTTAAGATACAGAAAATACAAGTGCTAACTACAATTATCCACAACCGTGCTCGACTGATTGATTGATATAAACCAAAAAGCTTCATCAACCATTATCGAATTTGAAGGAAGTGCAGGTCTACTGGAAAAGCAACCAACGTTTCTTTTTTGGGGTTCGATTCGCAAACAAAAAAAGGTAAATAGCAGCCGGTTTTCGTCGCGGCTTTGATGTGAACGTATTTTGATTTGATGTGATCTATTTTGCAATATATTTTGGCTCAAAGATGTATTTCTTCATCGGGATGCATGATTTATGGTTGCGACCTGCGAAATAAACGGAAACTCTTTATTTATTTCTATTTAATAGTGTCCTTTATACTTTATGCCTCAGTTTTAAGCGCGATAATAAACTTTAAGTTATGTCACTTCCACTTGCTGCATGCTAAAATTACGCGACGCTCACAGAATTTCTCTTAAATACTCAATTACGTTTTTCTTCATTCCAAGTAATTCTATTTAAATACATGATTTTCTCACAATTAAAGAAAGAAATTTGTAGAAAATTTACTTATTTTCTATTTATGGTTTAAAATACAAATATAATATATAGAATTGAATGGGAAAGTAAGTATTTTGATGAAGTAACACCATACAAGGTTTCAATTCCAAACTCAAAGCACATTATGCAAACCAAATTCAGTATATAATTTCCATTCGATTATTACCAGCGGAAAGTTTTGGTTTATCGATTAGGAATATTATTTAGAAGGCTTTCTCCATATGTGGACTTACCACGGTTTCCAACACAATATTTGACTTCTCCAATTTGAATACAAATAATTAATTGAATTGAATTTCTTATTTTGTTTTTTTTTTTCATTATTTTCAACATTTTATTTGTGTTACATATGTTTCCTTAAATTAAGTTACAACTGTTTTCAATTAATCTAAGAAATAAGTCAAAATAAATCAAATTTTACAAATTACAATATTTTAACTAATGGTGGATTTTTTTTTATTTTAACATAATCATTATAATTTTTTGCATTAATCTTTACTTTTCGTTACCCCATAAAATCTGTTTTACATTATTCGACTTTTCAATAGAGCTTTCAGTTCTTTTGGCACTGAAACCTTGTTCTATTTGCCAATAACTATTTGCTGCCTTTCAGTTTTTTTGTATATTACTCATTAGTAGCACTTACAAAGCAAAAAGTTAGAAAATATTCTTTATACAATGATAAATCAAACTAATATACTAAAAAAAAATAGTACAAAAATATATAATTTTTATTTGATTTCATAAAACGTTTTTGAACAAGAACAAGAATAATTTTTCAAAACAATAGTAATTGTATTGAATTTTTTATAATTGATATATTTATTTTAGTAGTATTTAAAAAAAAAACAATTTTAATTAATAATTTCAATTTTGAAACTAATAAAATTGAAAATAAGTAATAAAAGTAAATGAAAATTTCAAACTGTGGTGAAGAGCAGTAAAATTATGAAATACATTCAAGTGGCATGTGTTTCGTGTATTACGTTGGAATGTTAAACGCTTTTTGTTTCTTCGTTTTTGTTTATGTTTAAGATCCTAAATAGTTTGAGGAAGTACTCGGATTAGACTGTTCCATCTATCAAATGGAGAAATTAGTATAGCTATGTCGGGTATTCTAAGTAGAAGCACTTCGAGGAAGTTTATCGCTCGAAAACATCTCATAATTCGCGGCGATGTATTTATTTTGAGACTGGGATTATTAGTGGAAAACGCGAGTGAAATCGAATTTTGAATGATGCTTGGAATGTACACAATGCGCGGCAAAATTTGTTATTGTTACATTTTTTTTATATATATTATTGTGTCGGATGAAAAGTGTAAAAGCAAATGGTTGAGAGTATAAAGAGTCTATTTCGAGATATCGGACGTTCAATTATTGTTGTTTTAATAAAAGTGCATTTAGAAGTTGAACGCATGTTTTAAAGGCAGGAAGTTTACGCCAGTAAAACAGTTTGGATGTGGGTTACCATTGGATGGAGACGGCTTCCTCGAAGGTGGTGGGAATCCAGTATTTCGTAGTGGGTTTAAGCTCTCTGATCCCGCGTCGCCATTTAAAGATTTATCAATGATAGATATTTTTTCTAATAAAACGGACAGGGCGGCAGGCGTCGCGGCGCCGCAGCAAAAATAGACGCGTCGGAATCCAAATACCATTCTTTCGTTTGCGATCCGAAGTGGAGACGAGAATTGTATGAGGATGAGACGAGGAGGAAACGCTCTCCTTTTTTTAGAGCCTCCGCTCGGTAAATGGATCCATCAAAGGATAATCCGTCAGGCAGACACGTTCCGAAAACACCGATAATCTAATGTTTCGTCTTTGCCTGGGGCTTAATGAACTTATATTCCGATTTATCGCACTCCTTCCACATTGTATAACACCGCATGACTCCATCTCGCTCTAAAAACGGTCGATCCCGAACGCAAGAATGTTAAACATCTCGCCTCCTCTATATTTATAAACACGCGAAGCAATTCGAAATATTTCAGCGCCCGTTCACTTCTCGGGCATTCGTGTGTGTACACTACTCATCCCATTGGGCTATCCCAATTTTCATCCAAAAATGATCAAACTATTGCACAAATATTGCCGATTATTTGGGGCACGTTTACAGTGACCGGATTACGCAACGACATCTCTGCATTCCTCGCGAAGATAAAGAGATACAAATTAATAAAGGGCTGATGATGATGAAAAACGAAAATAGTGAAGCGCGAAAGAAAATATTACATTCATAACGCTCGAGGAATGCGGCGTTTCGAAACGACAGGATTGCCCAAAGCGTAATTAAATTAATCGCTTTATTTGCTGCGCTCAGGAATTCCAACATTATATTTTCGGAAATTGGGAATTGCTTCAAACGTTTCTCCTCTCTTTATGTGATTCACTTGACTTCTGGACTTGAGACTTAAAAGGTTTTAAAGAGGAGCTAATGCGGCTTAAGTAAGTGACAAGGTTGCTGTTCCCCCCAAGATCAATCATTGCGCACCGTGTAAATTTACTCGGATACTTTGTTTCCCTTTGGTTCACTTCCAGACAGCTGAGATGCATTCCGGAATATATGACTAATAATAACTACTGTTTACTCTTCAATCTTAATACCTTTTCCGTTGAATTCCTCTCAGCGATTTCTAATATTACCTAACATGAAAATACACCTTCCGGAAATAATCACTGCAGCTTCCAAAAAAGTGAAAACAAGCAATTAATAATATTTTCGTAAACGAAAAGTGTATTGACCCAGGAGAAGCATTACAGAATCCTGCATTTTCGCAAATATATCGACGCTATTTGCACAACTCCTGTTTGTAATAATAAATATGTTTGTTATTTTTAGCTATCTATGAATAAGACCGGGTACTATTTAAAATTACAAGTTCATTTCGCCTTAGAAAAATAAGTAGTTCGTAACACAAAAATAAATAAATAAACATTCAATGTTTTCTTTATGACTCATCTAAATCTACGGAATTCCAATCAGCAATAATCAAATTAAATTAAATTTCAATTGCAACATCGGAGATTCTGAAAAAATCGATTGCCAAGATTCAAATGAAGCTCATTAATTTTGAATTTTTATTTTTGGATGGACAGGACGTACGGGTACGTCATATGCTCAAACCGACGCATTTTGGAGTGTGTTTAACCTGATCCTTGACGCATTTTGGAAAAGTTCTTCGGCGACAACAATCAATCCACACCTTTTTTGTCGCTCGACTTATTAGAGACGGTATTCTCCCATGTCGTTGTCGACATTTATGTTTCTGTTTCTTTTTTTTGGCAAACGCCGTGCGAAATATTTTTTGCTCGCGACCGGCGCCCGCCGTATAATAACATCATTCATCTTTCGAATTCTTTAATAAGTTTCCACTAGAGATTTTTCTCTCTTATTCTCTCTCTCTCGCTCTTATGGATCACTTGAAATGCCAATAGGAGAGCGAGTGAGATGGATGGTTGGAGAATAGATGGATTCAAGAGGAAGATGGATGAAGTGAGAGCAAATAAGTTCGTTAAACTTATTTTTTTCTGAATAACTAACTCGTAAATTTTCACAGTGAAGATATGTGTCTGCATTCGAAACTATATATATTTGATTATTTTCTTTCATTGCCTTATGAAGCTTCCACAATAAATATTTCAGGAATAAATAGATGTTTTCGAAAACGTAACAACATTCAGTAAAAGTAATTTTTTTGATGAAATTGTAATATTGAAAATATTTCAAAACTGCTAGACGAAAATAAATTGCTGTAAGTTTATTTTTGTTGTGTTGAATAGAGTTCAAACATGCATTGCTAGGCATTCCATGGCTAGATCGAATAATGGGACTTTGATATATCTAAATGCAACTAAGGTATAAATATCGTTTCACTTGTTTTGCATCTGCAGTGTCTTGCATCCATAAAACCGAAGACAGCCATGACAACGAATGGTTTTGTTTTCATTGAGAAAAGGAGTCAAAGTCTGCGAAATAATATTATTGTATACACGATTTCCTAACAAAAACAAAAATACTAAAACATGTTTTTTCTTCTTTCTGATCCACAGACAATGAAAACGGAGGACAAAAGCAACATGGCGAAAGTGAGGATCGCGGTGATAGGGAAATCCAACGTGGGGAAATCAGGTAGGAATCTCATCATTAAGGATAAGTGGTCAGTAAAGATTGACGCAATCTGTAAATAAATATCAAAATACAGAAACAGATCCGTTCCAGAAGTTGCTTACTTCTTTTTCATCCTTCGTATTGCAGTTGTTTGCACAATTCGCACCGCAGACTACAAAATAAGAATCTAAGGATGTCGGTTCGCCTCGATAAAATCTCTAGGCATCATTTTTACGAGGCATAAAACGTTTTTAAGGTCCTTCCGTTTCGATAATAATTGTTTTTTTTATTATTATTTTGTTGTTCAGTTTAGGCCGAATTGCTCGATCCGATATTCTCAAAAATATATCCTCGTGCCTCTCTTTCGATGCGCGCAAAAAACCGAAATAATAATGGTGGCCGAGGGGAACGTGTGCCCAAATAAAATAATATTTTTGTCGATTCTTGGCCAAAAATTATTTGCCGGCACATCCGAGCGCCCGAAAATAGACGCCGTCCGGCACGAAACGAAAGATTTTAAACCGATTTTAAAAGTAGCGTAATAATAGACGCCTAGGTTTTTCTACTTCTTCAACAAAAAAAAAGAAATAATATGTATCATCTCTACACACACGCGCGGTTTGCATCCACGCAGCGACGAAAACACAATACATCAAAATTAATCCAAAATTCTCTTGCACCAGAAAAAGTTGTTCAAGAATTTCAGGAATTCTTTTTTACTCGTCTATTCATAGTCGTCTCCACAATTAGTCTACGATTTCTATATTTAGCATTCCCTAAGTCGTGCCGAGTATCCTGTTTACTAACCGCTAAGTACTCGCAAAAAAAAATAAAAAAAAGTAGGTCAAAAATTGAACGTTAATAAATCTTGAAAAAAAAAGTCAAATTAATAAATCCAATTATTTTAAATTATATTTAACTAAAATAAATAAGTTTATTATTAATATTTGATGTTTCTCTTTTTACTTATAACTATCTAATTTGTAAAAGAGATGTATTTATTACTTTAGAAAAAAAAACACGTTTTTTTTTAAACATCTTCAGTTGACTAAGAGTAACGATTACTCATCCAAGTGCTATCCGAGACGCACGTTGCTTAACTTTCGTGAGCTGTCAAATATGAAGAATCTCGTTGTTTTTTCATAATTTCATAATAAATTGTTAAATATTAACCTACATTCCGTTGACATGCTGAACTAATCCACAATTTTCTTTTATTTTCAGCATTGACTGTTCGATATCTGACGAGGAGATTTATCGGCGAATACAGAAGAAACACAGGTAAATAAATTTCTTGAAATTTGTCGCTTATTTTTTCTATAAAAGTTTAATTGTGACGAAGTCTTCTTAGTATAAATAAATATTATTAAAAGTAATGAAAACTTTTTATTTAGTTTAAATATAAAAATTTAGTTTTTAATAGTTAATAAAATGCACGAAATTGTATATTAATATTATACTATGATTCAATTTGAAAGAAATATGTGTTGATGTAAAAACTGTGTGACAAAAAAAAGTGAGTTGAGGCAGGAATGCGGTGCGTTCTAAAAATTTACACTTCTGAGGTATGAAAGAAATTCCAAGGTGAGAATTTCCTTAATAATTATATAAATAGAGCATGCGTGTAATAAACAGTCATAAAAATAGTCTTCTCTCCCCTCGACTGATTAATGTGACTAAATTAGCTTAGAAATGCAAGTTGACTCGACGCTCCGACAGAAACGACGTTAAGTTCCCAAACACATTGCAATAATCATCATATCAATCACATCCTATTATTTCTCAATAAATCACATTTAATTATAATAAGATTGATTGCATAATGGAATACGGTTTAATTTATCGAAGTAAAACATTGCTGCTGAAATAATGTGGGCTTTGTTTTATTGCATGTTTTCTTAGCATTTGCGAAACGCCGGAGTTTCTTCAACGATTATGAAAGTAGTTTGGAAAGAAGCTGCGTTGAAACCGTTTTCACCTATCTAAAATAAATTATCGTCTCATTGTGAAGACAGTTTTGCCAAAATGATGCAACAATTGTTTACCAATTTTCATTACAAATTTTCACTGTTTTCTTTGAATCACATTCATTTTTGAGAAATGTTGATTGTCTCCTATTTACTTATATATTCATTTAGTCAATTTTTTAACAAATTGTAACGATTCGATAAAAATAATTGTTTATTAAATTTTAGATATTTCAGTATTTAAATAATTAGATTAAAACGTTTAGTAAATCTTGTCAAATTCCATATAAATTATCGTGAAAATTAAATATAAAGTGATATACTGTTTGGACCTAATTTACGAAATCATTAAGAAAAACATTGTCGTAAAATGAAACTGTTTCGCCCAATCCTAAAATGGATCTCGAAAACAAAGGCATAAAATGTAACTCTCTCTTGACATTTATTTTCTTTGTGTTCGTTCACTTTATTAATAAAATATAAATCTAAAGTGTATTTTGAATTGTATCTAGAAAATGAATATTTCGTGGAAAAAAATTCTTGTTTTCAATGAAAATCTAATGATAATATTGTTTTTGAAAACAGGACGTTGCCTTGAAACGATCGATGTAATCATGGTTATTTTTTGGCGGAAGCGCATGCTAATGTGATTGTTGAAAATAGTGAAACGTAGCACAAAATCTGCATCACATTTAATGAATCAGCGCAGTGGGCAGACAGCAAGTGCGTCACGTTTTTTCCAAAAAAAAAAATACGTAATATATATACTTTTTTTTTGCAAATGCAACAATTCTGAAGATGCAAGTGCCGCGTTTTCTTGGTGAAATTGAAAATTTCGCTTTGCCTGGCTCTAAAAATAAAGGAGGAGGAGGAGCCGACGGTGGCGATAATCGGGTTTTGCCTTTCGCCAGAATCGTGTCTAAATTTAGTGGAAAATCTTCAGTTCGTCCTAGAAAACGCTCCGAATTTCGCACGCAGGTGCAGTCAACAAACAATGCGAGCGCCGCATTCGCTAAATACAAAGGCTTTTCCTGTAGGTGACTAAGTAAGTAAGTAAGTGCAGGTTCATTGATTTTTGGCAACTGGCTACTCTTGCAGCCGTGAGCGATGATGCAACATCGGCAAACAACAAACACGCGCGAGCAGCGCGATCTTCATAATTTTATTTTTCGATCTCTTGTCTCTCTGTTTGTCTTAATATATGTATATTTTTGCTCAGGTATGCGAGAGCGTGTGTGTGTGTATGTGTCTCTTCGCGCACAGAGATTGTCTCTATTTATAAGCATGTTGGAATGTGTCGCAGCTTCTCCGCTCCGTAGACACAGCTAAGCTCCAAATTACAGGTCGAACGAAATTTTGAACACCTGCTCGACCCAATATCCCACTCTGCCTGGACTGAAGAAATAAAAGTGTTGTTCTGGCTCCTCCTTGGAACGCCAATCCACTTAAAAAAAACTCTAATTCGTTCCGATTGGAAGGTCTTTCGTCCATCAGACGAAGTTTCATTGCGAAACCAGAAACAATATACACAGTGTCTAACAAATTAACATTACATCTTACATTTATAAAAGCAGTAAAAATGCAATTGCTTCTCAAGATCTATTCTTTAATTGGTCAAATAAATCAGCGTTTCTATTATATAAGTCACTATATCGAATCTCAAGAATTTCGTTTCGTAAATGACAAATACTTGTATTAATAAAATATTAATTTTTATAAAAAAAAATTCTTTGTGAATGTAGAAATGTCCAATTGTTGTGAATGTGGTGTTGAATTTCGTTCACGTTTCTAAAATATTCTTGACCTTGGTCTATTGTGGCTCGTATTTATAAAAAAAATGTACGCTAAATGCGTAATTGTGTTATGTTTGAGCTGTGTTTTTCTTAATGGAAAATTGTAATTGAAGATCGATTTTAATGGTAGTTTTTAACGCAGCACCGCTCGACGTATCAAATATTGTATATCTATTTTTTGGCCTGACTGCACTTGGCAACAAACAAAGAGGTCTCCCGGCTTCATATTTGTATGATAATGCGGTCGTGCTTTTCAACAATCGTCCCTATTTATAAACCGTGCATTCGCAACTTCGAAGACTTCGTCCTTTTCCATTCGCAATCACAGGAAAACTAATCTCTTGGCTCTTGTTCCAGATCTGTTGTACCGCCAAACGCTGACGGTGAACAATGCCTCGTTGGAAGTCGAGATCGTCGATGTATGCAGCTGCGAATTAGCACTCTTCCCCGAAGAAGCCATCTACTGGGCCGATGCCTGCGTCATAGTCTACGACATCACCTCTAGAACATCATTCTCCCATGCCACCGAGTTATTGCAGAGGGTTCAGCAGATCCGAAACCAGATGCCCGTGATGATGCTTGCCAACAAATCAGATCTCGAGCACCTCAGACAGGTTGGTTTCTTTCAAGTTCTTTGCCAAAGTCTCGCGCATGCAAACGTTTTGCAGACCACACACGGATCGATCTTTAGCATCGAACGTACACTATATGCATTACGGAAATAGTGGGTCCAGTCCAGTCGTTGACCTTCTCCTTCGGCTGGAATCTTTTCCTGGAGGCGTTTTCCTCGGGAAAATCGGAAAATTTCGCCGAACGCCTCTCGGATAAGTGAACACCGCGGAAGTTAATAAAATTAGTCCGGCACTAGTCTATTTGCCAATTCCCTGCAAATATTGACGCAAGATCCACACACACACTTGGCCAACCATAAAACCGCATAGCATGGCAACATAAACATTTGATTACTCTCGAAAATAAACTGTTTTACTCAAATCGAGCCATTTTCTACTTGACATGTACGTCAATCTTCGTTAAGTGTCCGAACCTTGTTCCGCAGTTTACTTCAAATTTACACAATTCTCTACAATAAATCATATAAAATTAGGTAACAAGTCATAAGAGTTCTACATACAAAATATCACATTTTATTCAAACTTCAACAATATATTTTATTACATAATTTCTAGTTTTGTAACTTCTACATTTATTTTAATTTGAAAATTTATTTACACATTTTTATTGGTCTTTTGGACAAAAAAACTTATCGATCTAAGATTTTCTGTCAGTTTCTTTATAAAATTGAAAGTAAAATTACCATATTTATAAAAATTTGTCAGATATAGAAAAATATTGACATTTGTTTTATTTAATTTCTATTAATTAATGAAATTTTAAAATGTTAATTTCAAAATCATTCTTAAATTAATTAATTAAGGTTCGAAAATTTTACATCTGTATAATTATATATGAACGAGTACGTCAATCTTCGTTAAGTGTCCGAACCTTGTTCCGCAGTTTACTTCAAATTTACACAATTCTCTACAATAAATCATATAAAATTAGGTAACAAGTCATAAGAGTTCTACATACAAAATATCACATTTTATCCAAACTTCAACAATATATTTTATTACATAATTTCTAGTTTTGTAACTTCTACATTTATTTTAATTTGAAAATTTATTTACACATTTTTATTGGTCTTTTGGACAAAAAACTTATCGATCTAAGATTTTCTGTCAGTTTCTTTATAAAATTGAAAGTAAAATTAACATATTTATAAAAAATTTATAAGATTATTTAATTAAACATTTTTATTGGTCTTTTGCACAAAAAACCTATCGATCTAAGATTTTCTGTCAGTTCCTTTATAAAATTGAAAGTAAAATTAACATATTTATAAAAATTTGTCAGATATAGAAAAATATTGACATTTGTTTTATTTAATTTCTATTAATTAATGAAATTTTAAAATGTTAATTTCAAAATCATTCTTAAATAATTAATTAAGGTTCGAAAATTTTACATCTGTATAATTGGAATTACTCAGTTTATTTGTATTGCTAAATTAGGCCCGAATTGGATAATTTATAGATAATTCTGGTGGCTCCAGCAATTTGTAAGACGTTTTATGTTGCCGAGCCGCGAATTTATTTCATAACAAGATGCGCCTCGCTCCACGAATGTTGGTAAATAAAGGCATGACTAAATTTAGTAAATTCCATTTGGACACGGAGAAGCCTTCATCCGGCTTTGCCGAATCTCGCATCCTGACTTGTTGCTCTTGGCAAACGAAAATTAACAAAATTCTTGGCCGTCCAAAGTAAACACTATAGCCCATTAATTTCTCGCACAATATTACTATTATTTACCAATTATCAATGTTTTCTTAAAACTAAGCGTACATTCTATAATATTATATAATATTGTCTAATACTACGATCATTCATATTAAATCTATTTATTTTCTAATAAAATTGTTTAAATTATGATGTGCGCAATCGTACATTCTTCGCATATTTCGGTTAAAGATAGATCGTTACAAAACTAAAGACATATGTTTCAATTCCCTATAAAACGAGACTGCGTATTTACTTTTTTTTGCGAATGATTGTTTGGGGAAACTCATTTCTAAATTTGGTTCTTTTTTCTCTTGATTCCAGGTCGAGGAAGTCGAAGGCAGAACAATAAGCATTCAACACGGTATCCAGTTCAACGAGGTATCAGTGGCGGAGAACAGCGATGCGATCTACTCATCATTTGATCTGATGTTGAACGAGTGCAGGAATCAGCAGTCGAATCACAAGAGCCGGAAATTCTCCGTCTCCAAAATGCTTGGAACTCTCATTGGAACGAACGGAAAGGTTCCACAAAATCCAACGAACCAAGGCGGAACCGTCGTCGTCTGCCACAAGTCAGATCTTTACAAGTCGAGAGTTCTGAAAAGGAGGCAGAACTTTACGGCGACGGCATCCCTATGACTCGAAGCAGGAACCACTCGTTAAGATATGATGAAGAAGTTAAAAAAGAAGAAACAAAAGTTATATTTTTGTTTATATTTACCTCAGTTTTATGAGGAAAAAGCGCGCTTCGGATGGTGTGCATCTGGTGAATGTTTCGAGTTAATACAAGATAGTCAAACCACGTTGTCCTTGAAGAAGGCATATCAAGAAATATCTTTATATAATAATTATATGTTACCGGACATTTCCATATCTGTATTACTAGAATGGATGGATTCATTTTTTTTGCAAATGTTACTCGATGTTATCTATATAAGTTATGTAATTAGAATGAAGGACGGACACGAGAAGAAGAGCAACAAATATATATTATATATGTGGATGATTGGGTGTGCGTTAACTGGCTGTGATATTATAGATCAAGTATGTTTTGTATGAACACTTCTGTAACTATGCTACAGAATATTTTATGAGAACAAAATAATAAAAAATAATAATAATAATTGAAAACAAAAATTGTCTCTGTTTGCACCTAATTCCATGTCCTTCACCTACATTTTCAGTTTCTTCCAGTTCGCCCGCCGCAAAGGGAATGTCGCGACTTTCTGGATGTCGCACGCGCACAATTTTGTAACACTCGGGCACACTTGCCAACTTGTTTGTATTCAATCATCAATAATCCGTGATCTTAGATGTACGATGACATTGAACTAATTTCCATGAATGAATTTCATAAATCATAATAACAAGCAGTAATATCAAAGGGTATCATCATATATGTTTGTTTATATTTATTAGTCGATTGGTTACACTCTCATTATAACATATTGCTTCTTGTTTACGTTAGGATTTCGTAACTCTAACTTTATGATTAATAATATATTTAGTTTTCGAATATTCAAATACGTTCATTCATTATTTCAAATTTCGTAATTTGGGAAAATTTATCGTTTTGATTTTTTTTTATTTATACAAAAATAACAAGTTCGATTATCATTGAAGAAATAAATACAATTTATAAACTTTATTTTATAATTAACTTAAGAAACTTAAGAATTATATAATTCATTAAATTTAAAGGAAATTTTCCGTTTACAATGTTAAGAAAGTAACTATTTAGTAAAGATTTCTTGTTACTACCTTATGACCAGATGTCCCGATTTTTCGAGATTTGTCCCAATTTTCAACAGAGGAAAACAAAATCTGCATTCATTCATAGATATAATGATTTTTTTTTTCAATGAAATATTTTGATATTTCTTATTATATTTCACAACTATTTTCTGTTTACACTAATTTACTAAGTGCAGATAAGATAAATAAGAAATTTTATTTATTTCTTGTATATTTTAATCCAGTATGTTGTAATTTATGGAAAGCTTGAAATTGAAGGTAAGAAAAACGAAGAAATAGCAACGAGTAAACACATATTTCTTACAGAGAAAATTAGAGGTCACGGACAGAAAAGCAATATTAATAAATCTTGGATAAGCTGAAAAATATTCATCTTCTTTCAGAAATTTACATTTTTTTTTATTTTTGTAATATATAATTAAGTTACTAATGACTAGGTAACTACAATCATAAAATTACATAAATAAACACAAGCAAATAAAAAAAAAACTTTAATTATTTCTGCTGTATAATTATGAATTTGTAAGTAATTTAAAGATAATTTAATATTATTTCATAAACATCGTCCAATAAATTTGGGGTGCATCGTATAGACCAATGAACATTACAACAATTTGAAAAAAAAATTGGGAGCCAAATCTGCTTGTATAGTTTCATACTTAATAAATATTTATTAATGCTTGCATCTCCTTGGAAAGTTTGAGCAAGTCAGATTTGTATGTTGTTGCGCCTCCGTGGATATTTGTGTCAGAGCCGCAATTAAGGTACCAAAGATCCACATGCGGCTCTGGAGCCGCACTTTGCCGACCACTGGTATAGATCAAAAAAATATGTTGGGTCCATACTATACGTGAAAAGAGACAAATATTTCTGTCAGTTCTACCAACTACAATTGTTTATCATGTTTCAAGTAATAACTGCCACAGTGTCTGTAACATGTAGCTAAGTACATATTAAGTATTCCGAAATTCTTTTGCTATATTTACGTTGACTTGTCATTATGTAATAGGTCTATGGAATGTGAAATTCGTGTGAGTATTTCAACAAAAGGGTGATTATTCCAACGAAGTTCTATTTTCCATTTGACAGATGTCAATTAGTCGAAATGATGGATGAGGAGCGGCGCAAGAGTCGCGCGACGATGCAATGTCAAAAGAAATTGGTGCATTCGAAATTGTCCCAATTGGAATGGTCCATTCTATTTAAATAGCGCAATTGGAAGACGCGAGAAAAGTGCGATTTCGGGCGGGCGGGCTCGCTCACTCCGTTCGTTCGTTCGCTCATAATTTTTTCATATCATATTTTATAAAATTTGCAAACACGATAATATACTTTTCATAATATTTACAGACCCGAAATACAACCGTCCCGGCAACAAATCACTGAAATTGGGTTAAATATTGCAATGCACGGCCGACCGCCGCGCCGCTGCAGACACAAAGTGCACAAAAGCAAATGCACATACATACATACACATACCACATATTTCAAAACCATTTTCAAAATCGATTTTCGATCTGGGTCAGAGGATTCTGTTTTTGGTCAGGGCTTTATTTTTTCCTCAATAAAGCGAGGCGATCTCAACAAACGGTCAATCTCATGTCTTCATCAACCTCAACATCGTCCTCCTCCTCCTGCAAAAGCTAATCCATGCAGGATAAATTTAGTTGCATTGCGATGCGATGCATCGCGAAAATGCGTCCCGAACGTAAATTCCCATCTCATTTTTAACTATGCCCACTAAATCTCCGTGAAATATTGCGGAAGATAAAACCGAAAAATCCTTAAAATAAAACAAAAATATTATTAACACTTGTACTCGCTATGTAAGTGTTAAATTTACGTCGGCCACTTAAAGCCATCTTCCCCGAATAGATTATTTCCCAGCTTCCTCCACCTCCACTTCTTCTTGACACTCGTAACCGAAATCGCGATGAGATGTGGACTTTTCTAAACTGTGCGCGCTTTTTGTTCCCATTTTTCCTTTCAAGAATTTTAATAGAATATTTTAATAGAAAAACGCTTGTCCCAGATACATAAATTCCGGTTAATTACAAGCTATAATCCTCTTTTCATCTCGGATGAGCAAAAAAAATGTGAATTTCACACTCCATTGCTTCCTGTTCCCTTTCATCTTTAAGCTAATTTATATATGCTACGTAATATCAAGATCGATGATATTCGCGCGAGAAAAATATGATATTGCGTTCGTTTCTTTTGTTGGCTACTACTCATCTTCATGATTACGAGAAGGTTACACCTCGGAATTGGCTCCCGCGATCCTTGAGACAAGCTACTTGCATTTTTGCCAATTAATCCTGCAAACGATTCACCGCTATCTCCTTTGCATTGTGTTTACGTAAGATCTAGTAACACTTGTCTGGTACATCTGTCTCTATATTTTCAATTGCGAGACGCAAAAATAACAAAAGTATTACTACATCGAGTTTAACAAGGACAACAACAAAATATGTTTATTTACTAATATTATATAAAATATTTTAAAAATATGAACAAAGCTTTTCAACAACTTAATAAAATATTACTAAAATTTATAAAATGAGAGATTCTACAAATATTTAATGAGAATACAGTTATTAATTAAGTTATTCTTTACATAAAATTAACTAATAGTCAAAGCCTTCTGGATTACAAGATTAAAGCATTTTCAAAAGTTTCAAAACAAAATAATTTCAATACCAAGAAAATGAAGTGTTTTGTAGTTAGAAGAATAAAATATTATTAGATTCCATTTATTTTCTTACATCTACTCAGAACATATTTCAAAGTATATTTTGTGTTAACATTAGCTAAAATCTTAAGTTACACGGTGTATATTGATTTAAATCGAAAGATACATTTTGGTTAAATTTAATAGAAAGCAATGCAAGGATAAGAGATTCAAGGTTAAAAGTAAATGCTACAAACTAAAGTAAGCTGAGTCGAAACGGCAATAAAAGCTTTACTCGAAATAAGCCACAACAATCTTTTTCTTGAGTATTATTGACGAGTGTGGAGAAGATCAAAAGCCTTTGCTATTTATAACCGCACAATTCCCTCGCATACATGCATTACTTAAGGAGCTTTATTGGTGATTCGGAATGTTTGAAACACATTCCTCGAGCCATCTCATTTTCCTTTCGAAAATACCAATTACCAAAAAGGAAGATTGCCAAGCAGATAAGCACGTCCTCAATACAACGCAAGTGGGACAACCGTGATACTAAATCATCAAACACATTTAAAATTATACAAAAATTAAATAATATTCGCATTGTATTATTAAAGTATTCTTAAAAATTGAATTTTGGAAATGCTTACGCACTGAATTGAAATGTACTTTTGTGAGATTCTGCAAAAAAAAAAGGAAAGCAAAGATTCCTCAAACAAAACTAATTCTACGATCGACGCAAATGCGGATTTTTACGACTGTAAATAAAATGTAGTTAAAATAAAGTTCTAAACGCAATGCACGCAAACGGATTTTTTTGCATAAACTTTTTCTATTTTTATGAATAATCAAATTGCGTTATAAATCAATGAAATACTTTTCTTTCGGGTAATAAAATAAATATCTATATAGGAAAGTTTATTAGATTGCATTGCATTGCATCAGAGAAATTTTAATGGAAAATTTCGACTGGATGATGAAAAGTAATCATTGTTATTCTTGGTTAAATCCGAGTTTATTTATATCAAGTAAGGAATTGCACAATCGACCTTTTCTTATAGCACCGATTTTCCACTCTTTATTTAATTGCATGCCATTCCGATTTGCCCTTTAGCGCAGGGACTGCAGTAAACGTGCCTTCCAAAATTGGATCCAGTTTGTGTCCATAACAGAAACATATATATCTGTAACTATGTGCCCGTCTCTCTGAATACTGCACATCCAGAAAACGGTGCGCGTAATCCAAGGTTACTTCTGTTTATTTTAGTGCGGTAAAACGCCGATTTACAAGTAACCCACAAACACAATTCGAATTCTCCTCGCGTAAACAATCCCACAATTATCACCTAACAACTTTTATACTTATTGCTTCGAAAAAAAAAATATGTAAAGCGCAAAATGATATATTCAGAATCACGAGATCCTTGCGGACGTTAAACGTTTTATCGACTCAAACGAAAAAGTTCTGTAATGTTAGAGGAGAGAAAAAAAAGGTATTTGGGACGCGCAGCTTTTTACTGCCGCCAAACTAAAAGAATTCGTTCAAGGCCGCAATTTATTAAGAATATTTTGGTCATTCAAAACTCCATCCATATAAATAAAACGGTATGAGTGAGTGATACACGTCGGGTCAAAGTTAAAAATAAAATAACTGAATTATTAACTATAACATAAGAACACAATTTTTGGTTAAATTAATAATTTTTGGACCTTGATGTTCTTATTTCGAGGAGGGCTCATCTTCAGATTGGAGATGTTCGTGAAGAACGAAGAATCCATGAAGATGTAGCCCTTGCTTTTGCCTGACATCGAATCCATATCATGAAGCTTCCTCAGTGATCCCATGCGCCATCGAATTTTCTTCTTCTTGGGAGGTTCAGATCTTATTGAAGTCCTCGGTGCATACATCTTCCTAGCCTTGCGCATCTCCAAATCAGGTGGACCCCAATTGAACAAAGGGTTCAGCAACTGGACAGTCTACAATTGAACAGTTATTTAATATTTAACACAATATAATGTCTATACTCACGTGCGCTTTATTTATTGAAGACATAATGTAGGAGACGGTGCTGAGGAAAATGATTGTAGACCAAATAATGATGATTAATAAAGTGGTGTGTATAATTTGCATTTCATCAGAACTTCCTTCCCACGCATTACGTGTAGGTAATCCTTGCACATCGAAAACTATAGTCAAAACTATGCTAAACTAAAAACATGGTCTTATTAAAATCCATGTAATTCATAATTTATATCGATATATTACAAACATAACTATAGGGTAGATGTACCACATAATCCTCCAGAATTTTATAGGTCTGGAGCCGTAGTGGAAATGAAAGTCATCATCTAATCTACTTACGCCGTAGCAGTAGAAAATCATAGTGGACTGAAACACAATTAATTAAACCAAAATTTAAAAAAAAATAAATAATTTACTTCTCCTAAAAGCTTCAATCCTTGCAGATAATAAAAATCCGACAAGAATACATCTACGCCTAAACTTGGTGAGATCTAGGAAACAAAATTGGTATTATTCCATTTCCTATTGTTACACCAAATTTATTTACTGAGAACAGCATGATGACGATTATAAAAAACATCATGCATCCGATACGGATGTAACTCCTGTATGGAATTATCTGCGGCAAGAAATCGTACAAATTCAACATGTGCATCCTCAAGATTATAGACTGAAAACTATTACGAATTAATCGACACTTTTTTTTCGATTTTTGTTTGTTTATACCAGTTTAACGAGTTCCAAGAGGATTGTTGATAGGAAAAAGAAAATGATGAAGATGTTTGGACATCCGCGTATCTTGAGGAACTCTGGGATTACGGCTGCATAAATACCAATTACTGAAATCAAAATGCTCTATAATTTGGATCATCGATTAATCAAAGAATCTTTACGTTCGACTAGTAAATATTTATGGGAAACCATAAATTTCGCCGCTAAAGTATCCATCACCGTTAAGTAAATTGTCGTGTAGTAAAGTGATAACAGTATGTTTAGAGAAACGGTGATCAGTGTGTCAATTGCACAGCTGTAATTGGCTTTGGTGTAGTTCGCACTAGCGTAAGTCATATAACCTGAAGGTGATATGATTCCAATGCGCGTGAGAGAAAAATAAACGATGGTTATGATTTCGCTCATTCCGTAATTGTCGAATGTGAAGTCCAGTAAATGCCGAAAGGCTACACATGATCCGGGCATTAGTAGAGCCATGACGAAGATTATCGTCAGAAAGATGAAATTTAAAATTAAAGTGATTTTCAGTGCCTGAAAAGGTTATAGAGTTTGAATGGGTTGTGGAGTTTAATTTTATTGGATGATCATACAATACCTATGATCTTCATGTTGACCATGGATAAACTATTTACGATCGCGCTCAAGGCGATCATTATGATCATGGCGCGCACTCTGAATACACTCATCGAATTCTGCAGTGAATCCCTGAAGAAAGAAATTCAAAATTGAAGAGTATCAGATATAAATCTTATACCAATAATTGTAGGCGCTGATGTATCTGTAGATCTGTCCGTCGCAAGCGAATCCTAACTCAATCTTGACACAATCCGTTTTGTTGATAGGACCATGAATGTGGTAATCGTAGCAGTCTTCAGAGTATTCATCGCATTCGTTTAAATACATGGGATGCAACATCAGCTTCGACATCTGCATACACAAAATGATCAGATCGCCGGTCTTCAATGGCACGTATACCGAATTTATCATGAATATCATTATGCAGAAACCTAGGAATTTCAAATTTACTATACTACATACTGAATTTACCAGACTTACCATAGCAGATGGGTGCTAATTTGTATAACTGGCCATTTGTCAAGCGCGTGTATCTGCCTAGAAAGCTTTCCACGTAGATCATGGGCATGACGAAAAGGAATGTGGATAAAATGAGGATGCTGTTCCAAACGCCTTGAAGAAGGAAAACTAGTTATTTAGGATTTTGATAATGGTATCAAAAACTGTGTTACCGCATGCCACTTGCACAAGTATAGTTACGGTGATCGGTAGGAAATCGACGGTGTTTCCGAAGATGATGCAAAACGCGTAGTAATCCGTATTGGTAAACCATCGATCGTCTATCAATTCCGCACGTGGTCTATGCACCTTCACCGAAACCCTTTTCCAGTACGTGATCTTTTTCTTCACCTTTGGTAAGTAATACTTCTCCTGGTCTTCAGCTAAAACCGTAGATTGAATTCGATCGATATTTATAATTGACATCGCAATATTTAAACGATGACAATTCTCAAAATATTCAAGTTTTCATGCATATACGACTTGTTTCTTAATTTTATAAAAAAAAATTATTAATAAACTTGGAAAATAAAACAATTTTCTTTAAATACTTTTATTGAAATCTTTGTTTTTTTTGTTTGTCAAACTTAATTTTGTGATAATATTTATAACTGAAATATATTTTTATTGGAACATTATAAATTTTTTTTTTCATAAATACGTTTCTAGTACATAACAAAATAAAATAATATATATCAAACTTTTGTTTCATTTTATTCTATGCTATTACGTTCGTCCGCTTTATAAAAACGTGTATTACGTAAATTCTGCAATTGCGAACGATGTGACGAATAGACGAGAGAAGATGTAAAAGAGGATGACGGTAATTATACTGTCAGATGCAAGCGTGATGTGTCGAGTTCGGAAAGTCCTTGGCATTCAATGAAATTCAAGCGCAAATCCACAATGTAATAAAAGATATGGATCTATGTACACCTGTCCCTCAAGTTTATTTACATTATGTGACTGCAGGGATAATTTGCAGGACATAAGTAAACATGCTATTTTCGGAATTGTATGCAATTATTACGCTTTTTTACATGTTAAGTGAATTCATAAGAGCAATGTTAAATTACTAAACTTAAACATAATAATTTATATTTTCATTAATTTATCCATTATGAAGCCATAAGGAAATAAGCGAAACATTTCCCAAATATACAACTTCCATATGCATCTGTTGGATCTATTGTATCTATTATAGTTTTTGAGAAAATCACTAAAATGTGAAGACACTTCATTTTTTCATTACTTCATTTTTGAACGTGTATTACAGCCAAATGGATGAAGCTAAGCCAATAGTTGAATCCTCGTTGCATTCCTCAAATATCCTACTTGTATATAGAGTGCATATTACTTATAGTATAATTATTTATTATATTGGAAGATATATAAAAAAAATCGCATCTTTTGGGATTTGACGATAAGCTATGTTTTTGCAGTCTTCTGAAATCAAGAGTCGTGTCATAATGTTGAAAAATAATTGACGTAATATTTCAAGTAATTGCAATTTTACAACGTTTCGTTGCTTATTGAAACTAGTATAAACAAATTAACTTCTCTAGCTAACACCATAAATTTCCCGTTAATTTATGGTGTTTAGAAGATTATAGAATATTCTCTAAAAGTCTAGTCAATAATAATTATTATTTTCATCTTTGATGGAGTTAAAATCGATGCTACAATTACTTTAAATAGATCAAAATAGTTCTGTTAATTTCTTCTTTTTTAATTTATACTAAAACTTCAGATGTTAAGGAACGAAACGAGTGGTTGAAAGCGTAAATAAAGAAAAATTTCGCAATAAGACACGATGAAAGTTGTTGTATAAGAGAGGCGTGGAAAATGTCTTCGGTTTGCAGAGAGAAAGAAGAAAGGAGATCGAGTGAAAATAAGAACACTCTGCACATGGATCAGCTGGATTTATTTGATTGTTCACCAAAATTTATAAACAGCCGTCAGAATTAATGTTTCCTCCGGCGTTGCGGCCTGTCATTAAATCGGCGATTAGTGGCGACGTGAAGACTAACAAGAGGCGCATTTCGGATCGCAATAAAGTAAGTTCTTCGGCGGATGAAAAGAAAGGAAAGAAAGAAAAAACAAAAGGGTTTGTAGGTAAAGAAAGCCGCATTTTCAAATAAATATCAACGAAGACTTTACGACCGATATGATGATCTTCTCATCCCGATCCGAAAGCACGCCTGGGGTGAATGCCTACATGTTTACCCAGACTCACATCCTCCTCCGTCTCCTCCTCATCCTCATACACAACCTCTCGTTGATCCAATTAATATTTATGATATCGAAATTTATTTTTGCCCGCATTTTGATGTTCACTGTTTATTTGCTCTTTCTCTCTTTCTATCTCTTTCTTCGTTTTTTTTTTTCGTCTTCTTCGTTGCCTTTTTGTTTCCTTTGGATCGTCTAGGTTCAACGCCTATTCCGTGTTAATAAACTTGTTTTGGCAACTATTAAACTAATATTCAACAACCCGAGACGCGGTTCATCGCTTTTACGACTGCACATTTCATTTTCGGATCGCCTCTCACTTTATTTATTACCAGTTTGAGTTTCAGCAAAATTACAAACATGAAAACATGATTAACTGTCGATTGATTTTCTTCGCATTACATAAATTACATAACAAATTTAATTACGTATTAAAGCTTAAGGTCATTTATTTTCATTAAATTAAATTAAATAGTCTTAATACTATCATCAAATCTTCAAATTGCATATAAACAAAATCTATGTGAAAACATACAAAGATTTAATAAAATTCAGTCAATTTATTCAAGAAATAAATTTTCAATTAAGTCAACTATTTTGTGAAAATTTTAGTAAAATCCTTGAGATGTAAAGTTTATTATAATTAAATTCATTAATTTTTAACTATGTACAAAATGAGTGTGAAATTTGATGAAAATCTTATGGAAAACATAGATTTAGTTTAATACTTATACTTCGTTTAGTATAAAACAAATTGTATAAAATTCATGAAAATTATATAAATATTAATAAAGTTTTATGAAAATTGCATTAAATAAATGCTTAAACGGAAATATAATGTTGCTCAGAAATTAAATTAAATCTTATACTGAAACCGAGTGATGCATTAAAATAATAATGGTAAAATTGCAATAACATTTAGATGTAATAAATCCAACGTAGACATTCCAGGTATATGTCAAACCTCCGCGGTTCAGGTTTAAATTCTAGATATATTGATGATTCATCCACGAAGCAAAAATAAATTTGGAAATAAACAGATTCCCAATAAATTTCCACCTTAAACAAATATGTAAATATATCAGATCCATCGTCGCCCCCAACGCTCAACCGAAATATTTACCTTTGATTGTGGATCATTCTTAAGCTAATGTTGAATGGAAACTTTAGACATATTTATTTTATTTCATAAATACATGTATTTCTTTTTATATTGCTTTTTATTTCTTTTTATAGTCGAACGAAATCGGATGATCTCAAGATTTATTTAGAATTTCAATCAACGAGTAAAATAATTTGTAAGAAAAATTACTCGATTAACGAGCGACGTTTCGCATAACGAGTGACGATGAGAAGAGAAGTCCTGGATTACGGACTTTTTTAAAACTTGTGTATATATATTATGTGTATTTTTGAATATGTTTCACTATACGAGTAAAAATCCCGAAATTTTGGAACGGATTAAACTCGTTAAGCGAGGTTCCACTGTATTTATATATCAATAAGTGTTTTACTCACTAATTAATTAGTTATCAAATTATAATTAAAGTAATTTAATAAACAAACATTTTGCATAATAAACGTATAAATTGAATATTAATAAATCATAGACTTATAATAGATTTCATATTAATAATGTCATTAAAGCTATGGAAATTTTAATATTCATCATATATCTAGATTTAGCCAAATTCTAGAAACTTTCATATAACTTTTAATTTTAGCAGAAACTATTCAATATAAATCAAATTTTCTAAATAGGCGCATTAATAGTTGACAAAATAAGAAACTTGAATATTTTTTCATGTTAAGGGTAATAACCTTTTTTAAGCTAAAACGCGTAGGGAAAACTCATTCAGAGATTGAAAATTAAGGGTCGTGTACGTTCGTTGAAATAGAAATATACACCAATCTAATACACTTGTATTCAATACACGTGTAGATGTTTAAATCAGCAGTCGAAACAGTCAATGATTGAAGGGTTTCCAGAACTATGAATAATTGCAAAATTTCCATATAAATGTAGATTACTCATTTCGTGAATGCGTTCTAATTAATTGAATGGATCAACGAAATTCGTAAGTATTAAACTAAATCTATGTTTTATATAAGATTTTCTTCAAATTTGACACTAATTTTGTACTTAATTAAAAATTAATGAATTTAAAAATAATAAACTTTACATCTCAGGTATTTCGTCTACAATTATTAAAAAGAAATACACCCTTAACACATTTTACTAAAATTTTCACAAAATAGTTGACTTAATTAAAAATTTATTTATTTAATTGACTGAATTTTATTAAATCTTTATATGTTTTCACATAGATTTGTTGATGTATTAGTTTTTTTTATATGCAACTTGAAGATTTGATGTTTATATATGAGAAATTATAGTATTAAGACTATTTAATTTAATTAAAATAAATGACCTTAAATTTTAATACGTAATTAAATTTGTTATGTAATTTATGTAATGCAAAGAACAGTTAATCATGTTTTCATGTTTTTAATTTTGCTGAAACTCAAACTGGTAATAAATAAAGTGAGAGGCAAGTAAATCAGCAGTCGAAACAATCAAGGATTGAAGGATTTCCAGAACTATGAATAATTACAAAATTTCCATATATATGTAGATTACTCATTTAGTGAATGCGTTTTAATGAATTGAATGGGTCAACGAATTCTGTTGCGGAAATCGATGTAGACAATAAACAAATATTAATTATTTCCAAGGAATCAAATTGGAAACGTTTAATTGAACGATGATTAATTTCCGTATAAATCTTTTCAACCTCAGGTTGACGTATTAACTGGCCGTGTTGTTTGTTGTTTCTGAATCGGCGAATATTATTTATACAAAGCAAACACAGGACAGATGTGGTGAAGTTGACGACGTTTGTTGTTTTTCGCACGGCCCGAAAATAAAGTACGTTGCACTAAAATTAGAAGGTCTCCAACAAACCTGGAAAAACTTTGCGAATCCCAAAATTATTTTTTTTCTCCTCTCTTCCGCACTCTGCGGTCGATTCTCCCGTGATTTCTATGTCTTCGAGTCTCAATCTAAGAATAGAATGTTCCTAATGACAGTCCGATAATTCGAGTCGCGTGTGTGCAATTTGCGGCACATTCCGCCTCTGTGGTAAATTGCATTTCATTACGACTCTATAAGAGCGTGTCCCCCTTTTTCCGTCGCGTGTAATTAACACGTGCGCACGACAACAAAAAGACCTAAATCCGCGGTGCCCCAATTCGCAAACCCCATCCAACACGACTCCGAATCAAAATAGAGTGCTGCGTCTATGCCTGATGATCATCTTCAGGGTGTCCAGGTATTGGGATTGCCGCCTCCTGTCTTCCTCCCCGACGTTCGTGAAGAATATGGAGTCCAGGAAGATCCTGCCGCGGTTCACGTGCTCGGCAATATCACGTTCGTGCATTTGCTTGATGGAATGCATACGGAACCTTTGCCGTTTCTTCTTTGGCGGTTGAGAACGGATCGACGTTCTCGGAGCGAAACTCTTCCTTGCGATTCTCATATCCTTATCGAATGGTCCCCAGTAGAACTGCGGCTTCAGCAAATGCACAATCGTCTACAAAAAAAAAACAATAAATTTAATCCATCTTCTAAAAAACTGCAGCACCTACCGATAAAGTCCTCACGGCCATCACTATGTAAAAGAAGGTACCTATGAAGATGATCAGAAGGTACAGAAACACAATTCCCAAAGCCACGAAGAGGATCGAATCGAAGAAAGGCGAATCCGGAAAGTCTTTCTCTATGAACGACTTGTGTTTAGCAACTCCTCGGAGCTTATCCAAAACCAATAAACCTATGCCACCCTGTAACATAAATAAATGATACACTTTATCATTTTATTAATTATTTTTAGTTAATTTACCATTAAAATAACTGGATATGTATACCACAGCATTCTCCAATATTTTATAGGCCTCCTCCCAGTCACAAAATGGATATCATCGTTCAATCTGCTCACTCCGTAACAGTAAAAAACCATCAAGCACTGAAACGAAAATCTCTTAACCAATTTAATATTTAGCACAAACATATCACCTCTCCAAGAAGTCTTATAGCAAACAAGAAGTTGATCTCACAGTACCAAAGCAGCGGGAAAATAATTATACTGAAAATCTTTCAGGGAATTAAAATTAATTGCCTACAAAATGACTCACTCTCAATGAGCAGAAAATGCTGATTATTAAGGAGATAGCCCCAGCTGCCAAAAAGACGTAAGTCTGGTACTTTGAGATTCCAGGAAAAAAGTCGTACAGATTCAGAATTTGCATGTACATGATTACAGCCTGAAAATTTTGTATATAAATATGGTATTGAAAAGATTTTTTATAATTTACGATTTTGACCATTTCCAAAGTCCAATTGGAAAGGTGGTAGATGATTATGAATATAATAGGGGTGTCGCGAAATCGCAGGAATTCGGGAATCATTGCACAGTAGACGCCGGCGACTGAAATTGTATTAAATTAAACTTGATTAATTTGTTAATTTCTTTTTCTTACAAGGGACCATCACGTGTTCAATATTAACGCCTATTGCAAATGAGAGGACTCCGGCTATTGCGTGCAAGACGACGAGGTAGTAAATCGTGAGTAAAACGTTAAAGATATTCAGGAAAACTGCTTCAGTTGCGGGACCAACATTGGTGTTCTTGTCCGTGTAAGCAGCGTACGTCATGTAACCAATAGGATATGTAAGACCTAACTTCATACTGCTAAGAAAGATACCCATCAACACCTATAATTAAAACAAATACATTAATTGTTACTAACATAGATTTAAGAAAACCTCGTTCAAATGAAGACTTTGGACCCTAAATTCGATTAGGTTCATCAAACCTCTCATACTTCCATGCGTCGGTAAGGCCATGATCAAGAGTATAGTCATGATCACAAAATTTACCACAAACGTGATTTTCAACAACTAGAATACACAATGATATTTACAGCAGAATTGTCCAAGTTTAATTGTTACAATTCCAATAACTTTCATTCCAGCTAAGCATAGAAAAGTGATGAACATCCAGGTGATCACAGCAGCAATCACGCACTGCCACAAAGCGTAAGTGGAAGGATCGTCGAAATTCCGAAAGTTATTCCTGCAAAATTACATCTTAGATTATCGCTCGTACAATGATTGCTTGAATTTACCAATACAGGTAAGCTGAAACGTAGCGGTATTCGATGTTGTCGCATTTAAAAGACATGTAGTTGTAGGAGCAAGTGCGGTTTTCGCCTATGTTTCCTTCCACTTCGTAATCTAAGCAAGTGTTGCTGTCGTGTGGACATACGTAGAGGTAATTCGGATTGATGATCAGCTGCAAGGCGGAAATTATAAAAAGACTTATGTCTGTAACTCGCATCGGCGAAGAGACGATGTTGAATAGGATCAACAAAACGCAATATCCTGAAACGGATCCAATGAATTTCGTAACTGCATTCCATTTCGCAATGCAAACCGAAGAATAGCGGAGCCATCTTGTACATCTGACAGTTGGTCAGTCTCGTGTATTTGCCAAGAAAAATTTCCATGTAAACTATTGGCATGTTCAGCAGAAACGTGAAGAAAATCAGTTGCAGGACGAAGAAAGCTTTATTAAAAATTTTAGTTTAATTTCTGTTAATTTTGGATGTTTTTTTTTATACCTCCAGATAAATCCATGGCGAAGCGAAACGCACCAGGTAAACCATCCACCCCATTTCCAATGGCAATGCAGAATAGGTAATAGTACTGTTTACTCCAAAAGTTGCTATCGACCCTATCAAACTTGGGTTCCTTCCTGTGTATACCTCTCAACCGTTGGATGGGTTCGTTTATTTTCATATCCTTTATTCCAGATTCAACGTTCAAAGTTTCCATCCTACAAATTGAAAATAATAAGTTACAGACATGAAAAAAAATATTGACACTCTGTCACAATTAGTCAATAATTAGTTATTCATTTATTATTAAGCGAACCGTACAATTAAACAATAAATTTTCAATCGCAAAATGTTTCTTCGTCTGGCGCAGGTTTCTCCTCCAAATAAATAATCATCTGCGTTATAATATTCTGCAGAACCTCAGGCGACAGGTTCGCTTTCAGCTCGTCCGGGAAATTGTTATAAGACATTTTCGATTTCGGCTTCCGGTTGTTGCATTCGTTCTCCGATTCGGACTCATCCTCTAAGCAAACGCTCAGCTTGGACTGTTGCCGTTTCAATTTATAATACTTGCTTTTCTTCTTGACCTTAACCGATTCCATTTCGGATTCGTAAGGTGTGATGTTTTCTTCGTCTTCATCCAAACTTAAGCAAGTGTTGCTCCTGAAGCTTTTCCTCGTCCTCGCGCTGTTCAAAGTCGGTAATATGTCAAGAAGTTGCTCATCGGCTTTGGTTTCTTTACATTTACTCTTAATGCTTTTTGACCATTCGCTGTTTAAACTATAACTTGAGCCTGTATTTTGGTTATTCGATATCATCAAAATACCAGGACTATTAGTTCCGGTTACATTCAGTTTTTTCTCCGCTTCTACTTTAGGGCATTTTTTAAATACTCCAAATACACCTGACTTTTTGTTCTCTTTTGAAGTCTTGGACTTGTTACGAAACAACCGAGATAATCGAAGCTTTGGCTTCTTTGCATATGGAAGCAACTGGTTTTCGGAAAGCACTATATCGGGTATACTCGTCTCGCTCCTCTTGATATCATCGAATTTCTCGGTGTTCTTCAATCTAATGAAAAACCGGTGTCTGTTCCCTTCGTTCCTAGTTTCAAACAGCAACATGTCCGAGTAAGTACGTCCCTTTTTCACGTTCTCCTCTTCATCGTCGTTCATCCCTAGCTTCTTCTTGAGTTGTCTCTGCAGGAAAGCCATGCTCGCTACAAGGAAAAGGTTTGCGTCGTCCTGCGAGGATAAGCCATCTTCCACGTTCAAGTTCTCATCGCTAATTTTCGAATCCAATAGGTCGCCCACCGATGGCACCAGATAACTCAAAGAATTTCCTTTGTCCATTACGAAATCACTCGACCCATTAACATTACGACGCGTTCAAATTACATCAACCTTTGTCACGCAAATTCTGAAAACATTCTTCGATCTTAATATTTGAGGAACGCGCAATTTAAAACACTTCCAAGTCTGACATTAACTTTGACAAAAGTTTCTAAGTTTAACTGAATTTATTAAGCAATATAATTATATTATATTAACATACTTTTGTCTATGAGATTAAGTATATTTTTTAAACTAATCTGATACGATTATCAGAAATATGTATTGATAATAAGATTAATTATAAAAAAGTTCAAAGTTTAACTAATTTTGAACTTGTTACAGTTTAGGCAACCAAATTCGCATGTAATATAAATAAGAATAAGGAGACACGCCTAAGATCTACTTAGAATTCTTGTACAATTTTTTTATTTGCTTTCGTTTACAATTTATATTTAATTATGTATAGAGTTTAAGTAATTAGGTAGAAAATTAACAACCAAATGTTTTTTTTAATTGCTTTGATATGCAATGCACATGATTCTCACTTTTAAGATTTGACAGTTGTTTTAGTGTCCTTTGTTTTGTTACAACCTTCGTGTCTTAGATATCAAAATTTCACACTGAAAGAGGCGAAAGTATTTGTGATGGACAGTGGAGAATTGAAAGCAAATTTAAGGTTCCTACCATGGCAGAACCAATGCACATTTATGTTCCCTATATACTACAAAAACAATGTGTTTGAACTCGATGATCAGATCAATATTTCTGTGCTGAGCTATGAGACTATAAATGAATTTATGGGATATATATCGGATAAAATAAACAAATTAATTCATACTAATATGGGAAAGGAGAATGGGAACCATGTAGTGGATTTAAAGGTATTATTCAAGAACAGAAGCAAATTGGTGTCTACCTGTAACACTGTGAAACATTTGGAATCCTTGAAGCATTTGACCTTTTCAATTTTGGGCATAGATTTCCCTGTCTTAATCAATGCTCCGTTGATACAGGGCATGAAATTACCAGAAATAATATTCCATGGACACAGTGTGTCTGCAATCAACTTCAAATTCACATTTGTTGATAACGACTTGTCTTCCTTCACTTGGTACAAGTCGAAGGATAAAATTGAATGGGAACAAGTTGGTAGACAGTTCAATTACTTAGTGAAAAAAACAGATGCTGATCACTACTTGAAATTGGAATGTTTGCCAATAAATTCACAACATACTGGTGAAGTATTCAGTGTGATCTCTCAAAATGTTGTCTGTGCAATACCACAGTTGCCAGTTTGCCCTTTCGAAGATCGACAGAAACACATAACAGGCTACACACAGAACCCCAAGTGAGTTGAAATCATGCTTTAATATTTGTTTACAAATGATCATGTTTTTTTTTTTTTTTTTATTTAGTTTCAGGGTTGTGTGTTACAACACACTTTCATGCAGATACACAGGTACCCAATTTACGTACTGTGATAAACAGCATTTATCTGTGGATTACAGAAAGCAGCTGATTATGAAGGAGCTAACTGGTTACAAAGCTGATATAATCTGCTTGCAGGAAGTTGACAACAAGGTATTCAGTTTTTATTTTCGCGACGAATTTAAGAAGCTTAACTACGCAGCTATATATAACAAAAAGGGAAATGTAATTCCGGAGGGTTTGGCCACCATCTTCAACACGAAACGCTTCAGGTGATTCTCGCGCATCTCGTTTGTAACGTAGTCAAATTGAGTGGTTTCAGTTTCTTCGGTCAAGGTCATATTGTGTTTAACATGGAAGTTAAGAAGAATCCCTGCTTGAGGAATGTGTTGAGAATAATCAAGAAGGATCAAGATTTGGAGGAGACGTTTATGAAGCAAGCTACTTCATTGCAGTTCTGTAAGCTGAAGAACCAGTGCCTTAATGAAATCACCATTGTTGCAAATACGCATCTGTATTATCATCCTGATGCATCTAACGTCCGTTTGATACAGACGGTACTATGCTTGGATTACTTGAAGAACATTTGTAGCAAGGAAATTAAACATGTATGTATAATTACAGTTGTTGGGATATTATTGTTTATTGATTTTCGTTTATTTTCGTTCTTTCAGAATCCAAATTACAATGTCGGCTTGATCTTTTGCGGTGACTTCAACAGTACCCCAGACTCGGAAGTGTACAAATTTTTGGTGAATGGGACCATCCAATACGAGAACGCTGGTTACGCAACGACCCTTTTCCATCCGTTCAGTTTTAAGAGCGCTTGCGGTACACCCCAGTATACGAACTATACGAAAGAATTTAAAGCATGCTTGGATTATATATTCGTCGAGACCAAAATGTCTGTGGTTGACTATGTGCCTTTTCCCAGTGAGGATATTTTAAAGAAAGATGAAGGGCTTCCAAGTGCGGTCTTTCCATCGGATCATCTACCGTTGATCGCCGACGTAAAATATTAGCAGGAAGAATAATCAAAACGCAATGATGATTATTAATATTATGTTTTACTAATTAAATGCAGTGGACTCTCAGCTAATGAAGATTTCTATATTTTTCGAAGAAACGTTATAAAAAAAATAATAATGTATAATTGTACTATTGAGAGTTTGCTGTTTGTATCATAAATAGATATTTATATACATATGTCATAAATGATTTTTATATAATAATGCAGGGATAACATTTGTTACATTGCTTAAATTGTTTTATGTACCCTTTTATAAATAAATAAATAATTGATTAACTAAATTTTATTAACTATTTGTTAGCTTACAATAAAACTATCAATTGCTAAAGTTATGCTGTTCTAGTCCCACTGGTGAACCTTTCCTGGGGTTCTTGGTTTCAGGCAGACCTCCTCACCAATTTGCTTCTGTGCGGCAAGGTCTAGAGGTGGCGCAACTTCGCGACGGGCATCCCTCCAGCAATAGTAGTTGGTATTCAGACGATGGGAAGGTCCATCAGGGAGGATTGGTTGTGGTGGTGACCTGGAGGCCACTTCATGCTCGAAACGGACAGCCAAGGTGTGCTTTCTTCCGAGCAAGAAGTTGCGGATCATTTGGAGCATCGGGTTGATGTCCCTGATATCTACCTTCGCCCTTCCTGCCATTCTAATTGATCACAGAACTAGATCGAAATTTGTTAGGTTATATTGAAAATTTTGACGTTTCTTATGTAAGCTTAAATTATTGTGGTATAAAAGTTGGTAACATTGAACACTATTTTTGAATAGGATTCTCTGGTTTTGGAGTGTTCTTTACCACCAAAATTACGGAATCTCCGCGGAGGAACATCTTCGAAATGAATCTATCCATGTTCACGTTCTTCTTGCATTTATTTCCTTTGCCGTTGCGAGCGTTCTCCACCCACATCTCACGAACGTTCTCCAATACCATATTCATATGCCTATCGAACATCTTGATTCTACCCAAAATTTTCTTATTGTTGCGACAGTTTATCAACACTTGGGTATTATTTAACACGGAATCCTGTAAGATCGAAAGCGGACCAACTTTCAATTCCTCTTGCAACTTTTTCACTGCAACAACTGCCATTATAGTTTACAATAATTCGCACTTGAATATTGTTTCAAACTTCTGATCTACCTGGAAACGCACAACATACATATTTTGTTTTTAGTGCCAAACTTTTACAACCAACCTTAAATCAATTAAAAAGTTGGTACAAATTATTTGTTAATACTTAACTAATAGTCTTTTAAAGGGAGAAATAAAAATCAAACTTATATGGATTTAAAATAATTTGTATTCATCAGATCGTGCAAAATAAAAATCGCTATCAATTTGCAACTAAAATTTTGTTAAGGAAAAATCTTTTCTTCACATCTGTACATCGTAACAATGTAGATTTCAGCAAATGAAAAAAATGATCTTTAAGCTAATACTTTTGTCATTTTGGAATGATACAGAAGAAAATGCATATGAATTTTATAATTAAAATTAAATTTCTAAGCGGAATCTTCGTCCCGTTAATAATTTCATTCAAGGCAACGCGTGTAAATCGTGTTCGGTATAAAGATCATCAATGATTCTATAAACAATGGCGATCACGTCCAAAGTCTGAGGTAGTATTTCTATTGCAGTTTTCAACGCTTCTTCGTTATTGCCACAAACCTGAAATATATTGATTCAGTTAATAAAGTCAAATAAGAATTGTTGAAAAGTTATTGTTACTCTGTTCATCAAATCTGCTTTAATAGGCATGGTGTACATAGCTAATTTAGCGCCTTTGGCAATCAGGAAGGAGTGGAACTTTTCAAGTGTTTGGCAATAGGCTGTTCTACACACATCACCTGTATTCTGATCATCCTGAAGCTCACTCACATACTTCAAAAACAACCTGATGAAATCTGTAATCATAAAATTGATATATTCATTAACAAACAAAAACTTATTTGTATACAAACCTAATCCCCTGTGTAATCTCAATAAGGTCCTGCTACCAGACACATACCCTTTCTTTTCCAGCAAATTGGATTCCTTTTCATACACTATCAATCTCCTGACAGTGCTAAAGTTTTCATTATCCGATTTATGAAGCTCAGACAGTATGTCCAATTTTGAGTTGAGGTCTTTACTGACAAAACCAAACATTGTACCCATCAATGTGAAGAACTTGTTCAACTCTTTGTAACTATCCAGGTACAGTTTCAAGTCAACATCCTTGTTTTCATTGCACAAAGAACCCTTGAAGTTTCCATGCACCAAAACCAAATCGAATTTTTCTGCCATGTTATTTTTAAATGCAATATGTTGTACACTCTCACGGTGCTTATGTGGCGTTAATTTTACGGCTTTTGATAAGATAAACAAAACGTTAAAATATAAGTAACAATGGTTTTCACAATAGTTAACAGCTGATTGTCAAATATTGAAGAAAATATCCATTAGATGGTGCTGCTGAAATGGTTGCTCCAGAGGTTCCAAATCAGTTTTCTTCCTTTAAGGATTCTAGGAGAAAAATTGGATATTTGCAATGTTTTTTTTTGGAATAAAACGTTTGTAGTTAAAACAAATAAAATATATTTTTTAATATGTTTAGGGCAGTTATCAGGTACTGAAAAGCAATTTCTCCATCTTCACGTATAAATAAGAAATAAAATAAAACAGATAATAAAATATATGTATAAGAAAAAACAATAAAAATGATTATATAAATACTTCTTTTCCTTCTGTAATGACTTGAATTATTGCGAATCGTTTAATTTTCTGATTTTCGAGTATCACATGCACATCTCTATAAACATCAATTCTTGCTTTACCTCTAAGACCCGGCGCTTCCACCTTCGCATTACTCATTCGAAGATGGAAATACTGGATCTAACTCTTAGATATGTTTTACTAATAACAATTGCACACACACACTCTAATAACGAAATATTGCTAAAACAATGATATGTTGCCAAGTCGAGACTTATATTCAAGTTAATAAAAAAATCTCGGTAAAATCCGACTTCGAATATCCTATGGAAGTCACATACCGGACCTTAATTTATTGTTAGTTTCTCTTGTAAAATCTGCTGGTAGCACGCCTTCAATGTTGTAAACATTATACCTAACTCTCCGCTTTCTAAACTAGGCTCCATGAAATCCTCGACAAAATCTAATTCGGAGCCTAATTGCAGGATTCTAGCTCTGACTACAACATACAATAGTACAGGCAACAAATCGTCCATGTTCCACCTGTAGTTTTCGCCCAATTGTTCCTGGACGACCTTCGTCATTTTCTGGAATGTTTCCTTTATCACCAAAAGTTTTTCCATGGGCGAAAAGGTTGTTTTCAATTGCTGCAACATTTCCACCGCCTCTGTGAACGTCTGATCTTTCACTATGCTCGTAGGAGACTTCGGGTGATCAGATTTCAAGAATTTGCTGTAAATCAAATTTAGGTAAATGATGATCGAGTTTGTAATTTTTATAATAATTACGAGTCAACGTGCAAGAAAACCATGAGAGTGTAATCTGGTTGTTTGTTCCATTCCAGCAGTCGTTTCCAATATTGAGCATCTTGTTGTTTGTTCCTCAACGTGTATAAAGTGAATAACGATAGATGAACTTTAGGTAAAATTATTGGATATAACAACGCCTGGCAACTGATAACATCACTGGAAATGATAAGATTACTACAATTATATTAATTAGTTTTTAAGTTATTCACTTTTCGCCCAGGACGATCTCTTTTCCATAACATGGCAATGCTGGAAATAGCAACTTGACTATATCGTATAATCTTTTTGTTATAGAATGTAATTCAGTTACGGCGTGTTGCAATAATAATGGATGGGCTCTAGTGCCGTAGGCTGTGGTGTAGGCTTTAGTAATATCACTTAGTAAAGATCCCAAAGGATGGTATGAGCATTCAAAGGCCTAAAAAAAAATTAAGGATCACATTTAAAATCCTGCTGAATTGAATTTCGTTATTACCTTCGTTAAATATAATTTAAGTTCACTGTGACTTTGTTCATCAAATGTATCCTTTCCGAATTCCGGAATTGTATCCAAATTATTCAAAGAGTTCTCAAATGTCTCGAACTTTTTCTTCTTCGAGATTCCTTGATGAGTGTTGGAAATAATAACCGCAACGTTCTGCCAGATTTTCTGAATATCCGGAATCTTTACGTTGTTCTTAACAGTGGTTTCAGGTATACCCAGAAGTTGATGGCATTGACGGAACAGACTCTTCCACTTGTTTTCTACAGGCGTGCAAAAGGTTCCGAACGTTTTCGGAATAACCTCTACATCTGGATGGACTGTTTTCGTTAAGGACAGAACGGCGTTCGATATTTTAATGCCCTCGTTCCAAGGACCTGTCAAATTCCCTTCAATCGTATGCCCTGATTTCAACGTTAAAACTCCTTTGCCGCTAAGAATACCGGTCCCTTTAAAATCGCCCTCGTAATGAGTGCCGTCCTCCAAAATCATAACACCGTGACCCTTCAAAAATTCAGAAATTTCAGTACGATGGTAACTTTGGAAATTTAGAAATTCACCGTTAAAACATCCTGATTGAATATTCCCTCGTAGTATATTCCTTCTGATGTGACTATCAATCCGTTTCCGTGTTTCTTGTTATCGTTCCAATTGCCTAAATACTTTTCGCCTGTCACGATGTCATCCATTATACCGTATCCATTTCTGTTCCCAAAAACCCAATCACCGATGTAAATGGATGCTGCTGTTGCCATGAAATGTCCTTGCTGGAAGAACCCGTGTCCATGGGATAGGCCATCTTTGAAGTAACCTTTATAAAGATCGCCGTTGGTGTACTTGAAAATACCGAAGCCGTTCTGCTGATTGTCCTTCCAGTAACCTTCATAATTACCTGCACCCAAAAATGAATCTATTATTAAATTGTTCTAAAATTAACCAAATCAAACATCACCTTTATTAGGTTCTTCTAATCTTCCGAAACCGTGCATTTGATTGTTGCTAAACTGTCCTTTGTATATCCTACCATCCGGCCATTCCAGTTTCCCAGATCCGTGCATCTTGCCATTTAACCAACGACCACTATACTTTGCATCTTTGTAAATTCCGTTCTTTACAAAGGTGTAATTAGCGCTTCTCAAGCATGGAGGTTGATGAGCGTTAGGCTTCACTAAAGCTAATTTTATCGCGTTCTGCAACGCGTGGAACCACTCGATCTTCTGCTCAGCAGTCGTCGTGTAAAGTTCAATAGACTCTTCGGGCATTTTGAGGCTCATCTGGTACTGACTATTATTACTATCCTGCTGCGGTTCTACCCAAACCGTAGTTAGGTCATGCACGTTCGGCGTAGATCCGTTCATGTGCACAAAAATATCCGTTAATAAAATGAACCAGTGCGAAGTAAACCTGCTTCCATTCTGCAAGAATATTGGAAACTTTTGACTATCTCTAACCAACCTACGGTTAGGCGTCTTCAACTGTTCAATAACTTTCCCCGAATTCAACCAAAATTGCTTCGTTGTTTCAGCCTCCTCATGTTTGACTTGCTGCTCTTCGATCAGCAAAGTCCATTTCGTCAAAGTGTCGTGCCTAATTTTCGAAGAATTCTTCACGAACAAATGGATGAAACCCTCGTAGAACGTCATCCGCCGCATCGGCTTCATCAGTATATTATACACGACATTACTCTCGTCGCACTTCTTGTCTTTCTTATTACCTAGTTCGGCCATCTTGTACAAACATGCGGGTATATCGATTAACTTCGATATTACGTTGCAGCCACCTAAACTAATAATACTGTGGAGAGTATTTAAATAAGCCTTGTAAATAAATAAATGCTCTTCGACGTTCTTAAACATAACAATATCACATTCTGAGATCAACTTATTGCTGTAATCTATCAACGATTTGATATTCAGAGCAGTGAAATGCAACAGGTCCATGTAATGCCGACACAGTTGTTCGTACTGCAAGGAATCTGCACATGATATGTTCCTCTTTTGCACCGGCTTTATAAGATTCACGTGGACCAGAAGCATCTCTTCCAGATACTTCTGCTCGGTAACTAAACTGTCCACGATGAAACTGTTGTTGAACGGAGTGTTCAACGCGATATACTGTTTACTGGATAATATGTAATTCATTATGTTATCTTCTCTATCCAGCTTCAACTCTCCTTTTTCATTGTTATACAGAGTGACTATGTTACCTTTCGAGTGTTTTCCTAAATATTTTAGATCGTTTTCCGTGGTTAATAATGTCGTATGGTAATCACCACAAGAGATATCTTTCACTCGCTGTGACATTTCGGACGGAAATAGCCGAGGGGAGCTTTGATCAATGTTGCATTCGATAGTTACCTGATGGTAATCATTCCTACCCCACATGAAGGCTCTACCGTCCAGCGTTAGAATTGCGGCGTGGTAACTCTGCACCGAAACCTTTTGAGCACCAACATTGGATAACTTCGTTATAATCATCGGACGTTCTCGCTTCATAATATCACCAACACCTAAAAGAAACGATTTAGTAATAAACAGAATATGCAATCACTCTGTATTTCATGCAATACGTAATAAATGTAGAATAAAAATGTGCCATCTTCAAAGCTTCATATAATATTTGCAATTAGTGTAAATTTCACCATTTTCAATATTTCATGATGCAAAATATGATAAGAGCATAGATATTAATTACCGCTTCAAGAACAAACAAAAACAACGTTTCAATCTAATCAAATATTATTAGAAAATTAAAAGGCAATCTACAGAAAGAAATAATATGTAATCCATGCAATTGCCTCAACTTGTTCAAAGTTTGAGTAATTAGAAGTAAAAGTACAGTAATTATCATGATTTGATTACCATTAAACAATGACGATTTCCCTTTACAAATGAATTGCATGAAACAATGAAACACTGTTTATGAGCAAATTTTAATTAAAATTAATATAATTTACCTAATTGGCCATGCAGTATGTTGCCCCAAGTCCAAACCTCACAGTTCAGCAAATTTGAACCTGTCTTCAGCAACATGCTGCATCTTTCATGTATGCCTAGCTCACTGAATTCCCTCTCTGATGTCCCTTGACTTAAAGACCACATGAATTCATCTTTTGATGTAACCCTTGGTAATTGCATTTCCTCTACATTCTCTGATGTCTCATTATTCTCTGAACTACCACTGACATGCCTTGAAAGGGTCACCACTTTATCTCCTACAGTTTTAACACCCTCATAAACTAGACTAGCCATGTTTGTAACATTTTCCTTGATTATTCTTGTAGGTTTCTCTGTGCACTCCACCAATTCCCCAGCAGAAGACATCCATGAGAATTGTCTGGTTAAAAATTCTTTGGCAGCCTCAGTGTTTCGGAAAATAATATTCTTTTCCACTTTATCAGTAGCAGCTTGGTCATTCTCTAGACATTTCCTTGTTTCATTTGAGCTGTTACTGTTTCTACTACTAGTTGAGGTTGTTTCAATATCATAACTAACTGGAATTGGAAGGCCCAATGGACAAATATCTGATAGTGAGTTCTGTGATATTGGTGATGTTAATTGGGAGGTGGACAAGCAATGGGGACAACTTGAGACAAATATGTCTTCCTCACAATCATCACTATCTGTGTCATCATTCATGATCTGCTTACTGACTATTGCTATGGCAAAATCATTTCCCACATTGCAGTTGTAAACAAACCTGTTGTCAAAGAATGAGACTTTCTTTGGATTTGTACTGTTTATTCCAATTTGATGCATGTTACCTGAAGCCCACAGTTGGCCATTTTCTGTGATGAAGAGGCCACCATAATTCCCCACTGCTAATTTATCAACTTTCATTTTGCACTTGGCCCCAGTGTGACCATGGAAGCAGGTCTTTGATTCCTCAATCAGCATTATTTCACCTACATGCTCTATTGATTCTGAATATGTTTGGACCTTACCGCTGACTTCAACTGCATACAAAACACTATCACAACAATCTATATCTTTCAAGTTGAGAGACTCCACCAGTTCCAATTGAATCTCATCTGTGGCTTCATCTATGTAACCATGGTAAAAATTGTTGTTTGTTGTTAATAAATATATGTGGTTGCCAATGTTGCACAGCTTTTTTATAGTTTCGTTCAAGTTGCCCAGTAACTTTAATTTCTTTGTACCATCCCAGATATGCAAATTATCCATTATTCACTTAAGGTAATTTATAAAACCATTGAATCAAATGACTCACATCCACTGGGAACAACTGACGTTCATTGACAACTACCGGCTGATCACCTTAGTATAGGCAACTCAATTCACACCAAGATTAGAAATCCAAATAATGTTCCAATATTACCAGACTTCAATTATTTCGTTTATATATAAATAAATATATTTTATTACGTTCACAGTATGAATTATAAAAAATAAATTACAATAATTAAAAGTACCCTACAAATTAACTTTGATTTCAATGCTTTGTTAGTTGCATAATCTAATTTTATAGCGCCATCTTTATTGGAAATCTAGATATAATATAGTTCATTAAGAATGGTGCTGTACGCTAAAGCTTAAGTTAATAGACTAGAACAGTGTTTCCTAAACTTACATTTACATTATAATAAAAAAATATCATATATTTTGATAAATAGTTATAAAAATGGAAAATGTAGATATAAAAACAATTAATTTATATTTTTTTTAATAATAATTAGTCTGGAAAGAATCAGAAGGAAGGTGAATGTATAAATAAAAAAATAAACTTTGATAGGGGGTATAAATGACAGGCATTTATTTACAAATCAAGGCAATATTATGTACTCACATGACAAATACGAAAACATTCATTGGATAAAATAAACTTCTGTATCGTTTCTTTTCTCTCTCTCTTTCACAGTTTTCTTTCGTACATACAGATTCCTGTACAAAAATTAAAATGCACATTTTTATTTACTATCCTCAGTGTGGTTCGCGTTTTACATACAATATAAATGATATATTTCTATTTCCGGTTCTCGTATCGTTCTTAAACCTCAACATAATATATATAAAAAAAAACAATATATAATTATATAACTCTACAACAACAAATAATATAATATAATAAACTAGAGGCTACAGAAACAAACAAAAAAAAATAATTATAGTGTATGTGTTTATGTATGTGTGTCTGCGTGTTAAATGTTACATAAGATTAGTTCATTTACAAATTGTATTTATATTTATAGATATTTATATTATAATGCTTTATATAAAATTAATAAAAATAAAATTTAAAAAAATAATAATAGTATAATAATAATAAACACCCCGCGCAATGAAATTGAAGAAATTAAAAATAATTTGCTGTTTCTCCTTTCGTTCTCCTCTATATAGTTGTCACTCTCATTTAATATTGGTCCTTTCAACAAATTAAACTTGTAATCCTTTTTTTTGCATAAAAAAAATGTTATCGTTTGATGCAGTTTTTGAGGATTACAAGTTTAATGTACTGTGTAAATGATTTGAATGCTTGGAAGCTCGTATTCAGAGAAAAATCTTAGTAAAATTTGTAAACAGGTGATGCATTTTACATAGAGTAAACAAAAAAAATAAGGTATGCGAGCTCCGAAGCATCGGCGTTACAGAACAATAACAAACAAAAAAAAAGAAGATGAAACGAATATAGAACGTTTTTTTTTACGCTGTAGAACAGTGCGTTTTCATTAAAATCTCGAAAGTCAGCTACAGTAAAAGTTGTTACAAAAAGAAGAATGAAGGCGGAAACTCTTTTGTTACAGTTTTTTTTTATAATTATTATTCTTAAGGCCACTGTTGATATCGGAACAGACGACTCTCGCTGCTCTTCGCACTTGTTATTCAATTATTTGTGTCCATCTCTTACTCTCTATAGAAAGGAAGAATTTCTTCTTCTCTCGTGATATGATTTGTGTGTGTGTTTTTTATTTCTTTCTTTATCTCAACAAAACAGAAATCCATCAATTACATACAATTCGCACACCGAAAAGGGAAACGCGCGAGCGATTTACGTAATCCTAAACATCCACAGTTATTATTTGTTACGCAAATATTTTCATTAAATTTACATTTCATTATCTTAGCATTATTAAAGAAAATATGTTTATATATATTAATTATAATCATTAAAGTTCTTCGGAATTAATTATTTTTTTTTGTTAGTATAGAAAAAATAAATTGAGTGGGGGCGGTTTTCTATGTATAAAATGCAAAAAGCAAAGAACTGAAGAAGATAATTAAAATTATAAATTTTAATATGTTTTGTTTGTTTGGGCAGATTATCTTTTTTTTTGATTACGGTTTTCAATTTTCTCTTCTTTAAAGATTTCTTTTCTGTATTTTGTAAGGAATACATAATTTCTTTATTATTTTTTCTTTCTTTCTTGTTCAATCGTGTAAAAATACTCCATATCGAAATCTCACTAGCTATGTACACAATTATTGTTAATAATATTATTAGATATTTTTTTTTGTTATTATTCAATCGCTATGAGTAATGAATCGCGGTTTAAAAAGTTATCCAATTTTTTTTTTCTTGCTGTTGTTGCGATCCGTAACAAAATACGTTTAACGTAAGTTTTTTTTTTGGTATGTTATTTTTTATTTGCGTTGCCATAGCAACAAATTTTTTATTAGTTACTCATAGTGTTAATTAAATATTACATATACTTATTTCTCTCTTCAACTATATGTATAAATATATACAGAGGGTTGTTCGAACAGAAAGATTTGCTGTTATTTTTTTTGTTGTTATTAAATCAAATCAATTAGATAAAAAATAAATACAAGAATATATATATATACTATATAGAATTTGCACAGAAAAAAAAAATGTATATAAATTAAAAACAATATTTCTCATTTCGCCGGTTTTTCTTTTTTTCAATTTCTATTAATATCATATATATGTGTGTGTATGTATATTTATATATAAATATATTTACAAAGACAAGAGGATTGTGTTAAAGTCTGCACGAGTTGCGCGACATTTGTTTTTTTTTGTTCGACCATCATCGTTTCTGTTCCGAATATGATATTTTCGTTTTCTTCTCTTAAAACATCTCCAATTATTTCTTAGATGCGTAAAATATATATATAGATTATTATTATTATTCTTATTAATATTACAAAGATTAAAATAATGTAAATATATGTATATAATATACATTACCAGATTTGTTTCTTAATATAGTCAAACTCTCCTGCATTGTAGAAGGCTTGTACGATGATAGTTAGGATCACTTTGGCGATGCTCTTCCCGTTGATCTTGTGCTACGTGTTTGTCGGAGATGACAGTGTCGAGGGACCCGTGGGGCCGTTCATCTGCTGCTGCTGTTGCTGCTGGATGGTGCTGTTGTACGGATGGTTCGAATTGCACAGCACTGTATACACATTGTCCATTTTGCTTAGTTGCTCGAAGAACGGTATCAAATCCAGCAGCTCCGAATCCTGCATGTCATCGAACCACGAAGCTACCGGAACCTGAAACACGCAAAAACACAACGATTACACAACATATTACCACATCCTCGATTGTTTTCCATTCCATTAAAAGAAAACTAATAGCCAACATTTTAGAATAATATTAATGGCACAAAGAGCAATAGCTCACAAAAGGCCACAAACCTAACAACTAATGATACAATGTAATACAACTATATCAATCTAATAAAGAAACTTAAAACTGAACTGAACATTTTAGATTTAATATCGTCTGCATATTCTTAAAATTGTTAACAATGACTCTGTTGAACTAATTACTAAAGTCTATATTTAATTAAATAATTTATTTTGATCTCATAACGAAAAAAATATTTACATACAAATACTGACAATAAAATGTTATAGAAGCCTTATCTTTACGAATAATTTCTGAAAGTTAATAGAAGAAGTGAACTTTCAAAATTGTGTGTATATTTGCATGAAAAAGTTATAATTTATCAATAAATGAAGCTACCAGAACCCGAAACACGCAAAAACACAACGATTACATAACATATTCCCACATCCTCAATGGTTTTTCATTCCATTAAAAGGAAACTAATAGAAAATATTTTAGATTTAATATCGTCTGCATATTATTAAAATTGTTAACAATGATTCTGTTGTGTGTTGTGTATAGAACTAATTAGTAAAGTCTATATTTAATTAAAAGTTATTGAAAAGTTTCAGAATTTAATTACATTTTCTAAACTTTCAGATGTCGTGCAAACCATTTATTTTGTTCTCATAACTAAGAAAATATTTATATACAAATACTGAAAATAAAATTTAATAGAAGAATTATCTTTACGAATAATTTCTGAAAGTTAATAGAAAAAATGAACTTTCAAAATTGTGTGTGCATGAAAAACGTTATAATTTATCAATAAATGAAGCTACCGGAACCCAAAACACGCAAAAACACAACGATTACATAACATATTCCCACATCCTCAATGGTTTTTCATTCCATTGAAAGGAAACTAATAGCCAACATTTTAGATTTAATAACGTTTATATTTTCTTAAAATTGTTAATAATAATTCTGATATGTAACGAGGATGATGTAATTATAAAAAAATATTGAATAATTTCATGATTTAATTATATTTTCAAATCGTGTTTTAACAGTTGTTGATGTAGTTGAAATAATTTAATTTGTTTTCTCATAACGAAGAAAATATTTATATGCAAATACTGAAAATAAAAATTAATAGAAGAATTATTGCCTGAACAAGTGAACTTTTAAAATTGTGTATATATTTGCATGGAAAAACGTTATAATTTATCAATAAATGAAAGTACCGGAACCTGAAACACGCAACACATTCCCACATCCTCGAGTTTTCATTCATTCCATTGAAATGAAACTAATAGCCAACATCTTGGATTTAATAATATCGTCTGCATATTCTTAACTTTGTTAACAATGATTTTGTTATGTAACAAGGAAGAAGTAATTACTGAAGTCTATATTTAATTAAAAGTTATTGAACAATTTCATAATTTAATTACATTTTCAAAAATTGATTTGTCAGTTGTGGATGTCGTAGAAATCGTTTGTTTTGTTCTCATAATGAAGACATTTACGAATAATGTCTGAAAGTTAATGCAAGTGAATTTTCAAAATGTTGTGTACATTTGCATTAAAAACATGATAATTTATCAATAAATGTTTCAATTTTTAATCGATTATCAACAAGAAATGTCATTGATATTAAAGTAATGAATTGAATGAAGTTTTCTATCTTGAATCAAACAGATCAGTCTACTTTTCAATTATGACAATGATTCTAGAACGACAAAGACCTATAGATTGTGTTGTATTGAAATAACAGCTGGATGTTTCATCAATACATAAACACATGTTATTTGGGGTTGTTTCCAATTTTGTGTAGATCCAAAACAGACAAAGCGTCACGAGGGGAGGAAAACAGCTGCAAATGAATAACGGTATTTAAACGTCACATGCAACACTATACTTCATACGTAGATGACCTTGCAATTAAACGTAAATTACTTTCATTCTGTTCAAACACATTAATTTCAATTCGGTTAATTTTCGTTATATGTTAAACATGTTATGTATTTGCATTTTCTTCTATTTAATTAACTTAAGAAGTCCGTTACGTCATTCTGATAAAACTGTCATCACTCAAGAAACCAATAATCATCTTTAGTTATATTAATGCAGAAACTGTGACATGGCATGAACTTTGTTATCTGCTCATCGTCATTAAACAGCGAGAATTATTTCATAACAATTGTAACGTATTAATAATCACGCAGCGCGTGCTTTTTATCAGTTGGGAATTCCTTATTTATAACATGCTTATGTAGATGATCTGTTTTAGGCAAAGATTCGTGTTAGTTTAAAACTCAGCAATTTGGGTTAAATTGTCGGACGTTTTTGTAAATTGAGACAAAAATGCCCACGTGTATTCATCAGCTATTAAAAACTACTTAATTTTCAAACGTTGTTAATTCTGTTACGCTCGTTTGCATCCTTTGATCAATTCACCAGAAAATTGCTTTCTTGGATTAAACCATGTATTACTAATCTTCATGTCATGCATCATCCCTTTTCCTATTGTTTATAATAAAAACCAAGCAAACCAGAAACATAATTTGATACGTATTCAATCAATAATCCCGTTCAACCTTTAATATTTTCTTAGGTCGATTTTCAAATAATATTTTCAAAATGTTAATACCATGAATCATTATCTATATTTGTGTCAGGAAAATATGTGGAAAGTATGCCAAAACTTTTGCATCCAACTCACGTTCAGGTTGATTTCAATAATAATTTAATTGATTCAAATATTTTCTAGGTATAAAAGTATATTAGATATTCAGAAAATTAATAATGAAAATTTTAGTCCAGTATACAATTATGAAATAAAGAATTTTGTTTGAATCAAGTTTTTTATATGAATTATTGTCATTATTGTGAAATATTTACCATTAGTAAATAAACGTTAATCTTGTATTTCTTGGACAATCATTGGTAACAGTTTCCTTTCTATTTGTCACTATCATTGTGTAAAGTTGACTTGAATTTCCAATTGTGTCTCAATACACTATTATCATAAAATTGTATTAAAAATAACAAATTAATTACAACACATCCTGATTACAAACAAAAGTACAAATTGAGTTTCAATCATTTTATAATATTTTACAACAAATAAAATATAACTCAAATTAAAAATTATTTGTATGTAAAGAAAATTGTCTTGTATTGATGATTCGTATTGACAAATTTTTGAGTATAAATAATTAATTATTAATTACAAAAAAATGATATTTATTGGAAGATTTCAAGAAGCTTTAATACAATTATGATTGTATAAATAACTTGGAATTAAAATGCAGCATTTGGCATACATGACATTTTTTTATGAGACCTTTCACCAGACGTTCGCTTGTATTTTTAATACCACGTTGCGTGACTTCTTCGAATCAGTCGTGAAACTTACACTTAATTCACTAGGTCAAGCAAGTCACACACACACACAAATGATTTATTGTGTTTTATTTTCCACATATAGTTTGAACTATTTTTAAGATGCTGCTGCTATTGATTTACTTTAATAAAACATATTTAGTTCAAAGCGGTCTTCGCAAAATAAGTCCAAAACATATTTATTTATTACTAGATTTTCTTAAAAATTTCGTTCATGTTTTTGCAGAAATGCAAAAATAATATGCCAAGTTTGTAGAAGATGTTAAGACATAGCTTTTAAGAATTATATAATATTTATGAGTTTCTTGTGTTAATCATTTTAAGGAATGAGTAAGATGATGAAGATTAATTAAACTTACTGCATTGTCTGGATGGAATATGTAGGAAGCGGGTGAATTGTCCACGATGATGATCTGCTGGAGTTCTCTGCCCAGCTTGTTAAGATCCTTGACGTAGTTCCCCCTGTGGAAGACGCAGCTTTCGCGGAAGAGACGCGCCCTGAAGACGCCCCACCTGTCCAGAAGGTCGGCCACGGGATCCGCGTATTTGGCCAAAGAAGCCGTGAACAGCACGCACTCGTACAGCTCTCCCATCCTCTTCAGGAAGTCATCGACGTACGGTCGCTTCAGCACGTACACCTGGTGCACGGTGCCGTCGATCTCGACCGGCACGACAAAGTCGGCATTGCTTATGGGCTGCAGAAGAAAACAAAACAAAACCATTAGCATTGTTGCATGTGCGATTGTGGTTAGAGAGTACCTTGAAACTGCTATGCACCAGCGTCTCGTCCAGATCTATGACCATGCACTTTTTATGCATGTCCTGGTGCCGAACCGGCGGCAGCAAATACCTGGGCGACTCGGACTCGTACGTGACTTCCCTTGATCCGAACTGCTGGTTGTTCTGAGCCTTTCCCTTGCTGCGTCCCAGACAGCACAGCAGCGATCGCAGGAATCCGCCCTTCGCCTTCTTCGGCGGACCCTCGCTATCTGATATGTCGTTCTCATTTTTCGGTAGTGTCCCTGCAAACAAGTTCAGAATTGAGGATCGAAAGTGCACGCAACATATTTGATATTTATCGCGAATTCCGACGAGGCAGCAAACTTGGCGCGCGCGGTTTCCATTTCCTTAAATGCAATCTCTACCATTCCCAATTGAAGCCTATTGATTTCTATTTCCCAACGCACGCGAGAACCGTCATTAACAATCGAATAATGATAATACTAGGCCATAATAGAAATTCAAAAGTGTGTCACAATTAAAGCCAATAAAATATATACATAGTAATGCAATTAGTTGGAATGTCATCAACGAAGAAAAGGTATTCCCACAATTGTCTTTAATTGCATTAACTTGTACTACAGATGCAAGACGAAAACATGTAAAGATGCAAGGACGCAATTGTCCGAATTTAGAGTTAAAAAAAACCTATTATAGACCAATAAACAGTTTATTTATAACTCGTGTCAAAAAAAAGCTCCTGGTCAAAAACATTTGTCAAATAAGCATGTAAATTTTCGCATAGCCAAGTCCGACATATAAATAAGTCACGGCTATAAAAAGCAATTACCGTCGTGCGATCATACATTCAATTTTTTTTCTTTAAATCCCGGTGCACGCACCGCTCTCTCCACCATCTCCAACTGCAAACTCCTAGTAGTCACGGCCCATTGTGAACGGCTTTCAAACTATTTTTATCCGCGCCGCGTTTGCTAATTCACGTTGTTTGCGTTTATTTGAATGTTCTTTCGAAGCATTTAAAGCGCCGATTAAATCACTCGACGAAATAAAAAGAAAGAAAACAGAATCCGCTTATCGCACAGAGCAAACAGAGTTCGCGAAATAATATTTGCGTTGCATATATAAATTACATAAATAAATATCTGGTATGGAATAAAACTAACTGTTTTTGCAATGAGAGTTCGGTTTTACTAACTTGTTGAATGTTTTTTTTTCTTTCTTCGCAATTAGTGGTTATATAGATTTTCCTTTGACCGTGTAAATGTTGTTTATGCAAATTACGAAATCCTTAATAAAACCAAAACCATTGAATGCAAAATGAAGAAGGTAATAACAAGCAAATGTATGGAAATGAATAATTCAGAGTCGCTTCTAACTTAGAACAAAACATTGCGAAATGGACGATCCATAAATATTACAATGAAATTAGCACATTCCTTCTTTATTGACAATTTTAGTTAATAGTCGACTGTGTGTTTTATTTGCATTGCTGACGCCTTTGTTTCGTAACATGTCTTGATATAATATCCAAATAAAGAACGCGATTTTCGAACTTTGCGACGTGAGAAAAAATAAAACACTTTTCTGTAGTTTACTTAAAATGTAAATCTCGTAAATTTCTTTAGAATATTCATGCGTTTCGTGATAAAATAGAGAAACGTACAAAAAACAAACATTGCTGCAGCAACAAATATGAGTTGGAAACATTTATCAACGTTGCGTAACGATTTCTCTAATTATACCAAACTTCCTTTAATGTGTTGTAACAAATGATAAATGTATCCGATTTTACTTGAATAAAATTTATTCTCCAACACATTCGTTTTCATTATTTAAAGAAAAAAAAACTATTCTGTTGAATATTCAAAATTATTATTTAATTGTTTTATAAACTAGAATCTCAATTAAGTTTGCGTAATAATTGAAATGGATGTTATTCAACTTGGAAAAAAATTGTAATCAAAGTTGTAATTATTGAAGGAAAAACATGGCAATTAAAAGTCGCATCACGATTGAAGTATTTTTGAATGTCAACTCGATAGATATATTGTTTAAAAGAAATAAGTATAATAAAATTATACTGGAATCCATTAGAGAAGTGCGGAAATATTTTCACTTAAAATGATACTTTTTTTTCAACATACAATTAAAAATAATGAATGCAATTATGGGATGCCTCGAAATACTTTCAAAGCTATTATAACAGGAAATTATGTTATTTTTCTTTAAATACATTCCAATGTAAAATATTTTAGTATTTTAGCAAAATAATTGCCTTTCGCTTATATTAATATTACATTTGAAATAATTGAAAATTCTAAATTATTAAAAAGTTCAAAGGAAATCAATGTTTTAAAATTTCTGTTAAAAGCACTTTGGAATTGTTTGATTATCATAGTAACAACCATTCGCATTGATGTGAAAACCACGTGGTTAATATAGACTGTTAGCGCGGGAATATCGAGAAGTCAACATCAAATATTTACTCAGTCTTGTATACAAGGAACTTTGCATGAGAATAGACACTTTTGAAGAGATACTTATTACGCATTCAAACAAAACTTATTTAAAGTCAAATACAGCAAAAATTTAACTTAATTTATCTAAATTAATTGTAATCTTAATTTATGTTTTACAATACGAATTTACTACAATTCTAGATAAGTAATCGTACAGAGAGATTAGTTTGTGAATGAAACAATATTCTGATAAACCAATTTTAGTGCATTTAATATCAGTCAACATCATAAGACTATTTTGATTTAGGTATAAGACTTTTAGTCTATTACGTAAATGTCTATAATGACTTGGTATTCCAACAACTTGTATCCATTAGGCAAGAGTTTTATTCTGTTATTTTTGAGTTTGACAAATGATGTCGGTCCCCCATTCGCGATTAAAGTATTTTAACTTTCGTAAACTTTTGGACTGTATGCAATGAATTCGCATCTGACATTCTTTGCAAAGCAGTAACAATTAAACGTAAATGTCAAGTATTCGCTTTAATCGATTTGCAAGTATGTTACAAGCAAATAAAACAAAATTGCTATAATGGATCGGATGTCGCAGGAAAGATATGAGTAGCCTTGGTAAACAAAATCCGTTCGTTAAAGTGACATTTCTTTAAATAAACAAATGTCTTTTGTAGTCGCGAGGCGGACGCGTGTGTTCGTGCGTGTAAATGCGTTTGAGCAAACACAATAAAACTTAAGTAATAAACAAATTAGCGAGTAAACAGTTGTTTCTGGCAGGCGACGGAGAGACGTGAAAAGGTTTTTGGTTGGAGCGTCGGTGCGAGGGGAATGCGTAGGCAGTGCAGAGGAGTATGCGAGAGGTGAGTAGTACGAGGCGAGGATGGACGGACTTTGGGGGGGAAATTGGGCTTTGATCTTTTCTTCTTTTTTTCGGGAAGGAAGAGAGTATGAAAATGAAAACAGAAGAAAAAATGTGAAAGCTCTTTCGGAAAGCGATTGACAGTTGGGTTTGTTGTTTCGAAAGAGGTCACACAGGTGTGGAATGCTCGTCGATTTGCATATTTGGGAGAGTTGTCGGCGCGCGCTAGGAAATGCGAAACCGCCGAGAGACGCAGTAGCGCAACAACATAACAATTGTTCAAAAAAAAAATGTAATGAAAACATAACAACAAGCGTTGTTTTTGTTGTCTTGTCTTGTCGATGACGGTACGGTGGTGGTAGTAATATTGGAAGCGATTGAATAATCCAGGGTCGCGACTCAAGGTTAGCTGGTCCAGGCGCCGTTCTGCTTTTGTTTACCGTGTGTTTACCAATTGACCAGAAACATGCACGCCTACATAGACGGTTTTACAAATCGCGCTCTCTCCACACTACATAATACACGGCACGCTTTAAATGTCCCCCCTTCGGGGGGTCCGTCCGACTTTGGGCTTGGTGGACGTGCGATCCGGAGGTCTCCGAGCACACGGTCCTCCTCCCAGAGCACAGGTGAGCTCCCAGCTCCCATTTTCGGAGAGGCGACCATCGTCCGAAGGGGGAACAGACAGAGGCGCACATCGTCTTCTTCATGCGTTACCTTTTTCGGGCGGATAACTGTTCAATTGTTCGTTGTCGCGGGACACTTGTGTTATAATGGACGAAGCGTCCATTTATTCATTTGTTTATTGTCCCCGTTTTTGCTGTGCCCTCCTGATCTTCCCTCCGTTCTCTTCTCCTCGACCCGTGACTTCTTCTTTCACGTCCCGTTCGGCAGCACCACTTCTGCAGCACACTCTCACGCACATAAAACGCGCCCGATTCGCAACAAACACAAAAAATGAAATAATAATACAACAAAAACTATTTTAAAACACCTCCACAAAATGGCAGATGCTTTTATTTTCGCTCGCCATATTGAAATCCCCGATCTGTCCACTCCTCACACTCCCTCTCGCTCTTGCACGCACCGTCTCCCACTCGATGCCTTCGGAAACGCCATCTACCATCCAGTTTACCTAACCCATTGATTTCGCAATCCTAACAAACAGGACCGGATTCAGCAATTTGATTTCTCTGAAAAAATACAAGAAAACTTTCATACTAAATCCTACTTGTATCCGACGATTGGTTCTTTTCTAAAAAAAATCTAATAAGAATGTTTTAAACTTTGTCCGTATTTATCATACGTATAGTTATTCAATTCGGTAAAAACAGTACAATTGAACCAATCATGAATATGTTATAAGCTCTTAAACATCACTAAACTTGCCTCAAAGTATTTAATGAACGTGGAATGTAAAAGGATATGGATTACTCTTGTTGTATATGTATATAATATATTTTAAAATACTAATTTGTATTATCCTTTTTCCTTATTAACAAATATAATATGACTAAAATAAAGACTTAAAATTAGTAGTAAGTTAATTTACAGATTTCACCGCCTGGAATTTTGCATCTTATAAAATATATATAAATATATGTATTGGAAATCTCGGTATCAAAATACTACAGACTTTCATTCAACGTATCGACTTTACAAAGCCATTAGTTTTTTTTTTCTTGTTTCATTTTTTTTTGTCTCTCTCTATATATATATATATATTAGATTATTTACAAGTTGTGCAAAAATATTTTGAAAACATAAAATTATTTTAGAAGTTAAGCCATTCTATCACAATTTACTTTTTTTTTTTGAATCCCACGCGCGCAACGCTTTAGCTAGAAAACAATTGTTAAATATATCTAATCTATCAGTGGTGATCATTTATTTTTGACGAACATTTGTCGCTTGGTGATTCGTCCGCAAAAGATTCCAATCAAGAACATCGTTCCAATGACCATAATGACGAGGAAGAAGATGTAATGTTTCGCCGGTGAATCTACAACTTGCACGTAAAGCTCGCCCAAATTCTCCGGAGGGGCAACCTAAAATACATGTTAATACGATATACTAATAACTGGTGATGAATTACGTTACCTGAGCTGCGTTCTTGTACATTTCCAATCGTTTCTTCAGCATATTTTGACACTCGGTTGTTAATTGTTTGTTAGCATCTTCCATGATTATTTTCAAGCATTTTATATCTACAAATATGTATTTTTTTGGTAAATTAATTTATAAAGTGATTCAAACAATCTTACGTCTGCCGTTTCCTTGAGGAACTTCGCTGCAGTACTTCAAAATATCAAGTGAGCAAGTCTGCTGAAGCAATGGATCTACTTGGATATCAGCTTGGGATTCTTCTATCAAACTAGCTACTTCGTTCTGACACGCCACCGTTGGGATTTTCTTATTGAGCAAAGCCACCTTCAAGCATTCTTCCACATTTCCGGAACCGTCGCTTTCCTGTTTACAAATCGTTTCCAACTCGTTGCTGCAAACGGCTCTTAATAAAGGATTTAGTTGCAAATCCAGAGCTTGTTCTCTCAAGATTCCAGACATTTCTCGCTCGCACTTGTTGGTTAACTTTGAATGTTTGAAAGCCTCCTTCAGGCATCGGATTACTTCCCCGTTCAACTGCTTCTCTGGTTTAGCTTGCATGGCCACATCATGACAGAACTTCTTAATATCCATTTTGCAGTTCTCTTGCAACGCTGGATTCAAACGATAGTCGGAGTTTTGCTCGATCATCCTGTGCTTCACGATCATCAGACATTTCTTATTGAAGCCCCTCTCATCTTTATTCCCCTAAAATTTCAATATGGTTATAATTTAATCTTGTTATTTGTTAGTTCTACTAACCTTAAGGCATTCCAAGATATGAGTATGTTCTACTTTTGGGCAAAACGTTTGGATGCTCTCTGCGCAAACGGTCATCAAAGCGTAATCGACGGCGTTGTCAGAGATTTCCTGTTTCTTAACTTTGAAGAGCTCTACCTGGCACTGTTCTGTTAACTTCTTCTCCGGAGTCGATTGAAGACATTCCAAGATTTGAGCTGAGCCATGTTCGATCTCGTTGCAATGCTCACGGATATCGGATTCGCAAGCTTGAGCCAATTTGGGGTCGAACATTATATTCTCTCGTTGTTGGAACAGTTGAGCTTTCAATTGTTGTCTGCATTCTTTCTGTACAACACTCTTGACTCCGGCGATAGTGTCGTTCGTTACTTTCTCGCTCAAACAGGAGACAACGGCGGCTTTAGTTTTGGCCGTTTGGCAAAATCGTACAGCGTAAGGTTTACATGCTATTTTGAATTTGTAGGAAAAGCGGAAATCTTTCAACGAAATTAGTTGGAAGTGTTCAATACTGATCCTACACTTGTTGTTCGCTTTGACGAGAGGATCGTTCTTGTGCGCGATCAAACATTCCATGACTGTACCTTCATCAGTCTTGGTGTCCAGAGAGCACAAACTGTTTATAATTTTTCTACAATTCGACATAACATATGGGTTTAATTCAGTGTTTTGAGCTTCTTCTTCGGTATATTTTTCCACGGCAACTCTGCATTTATCGACTAATTTATCCAAATTATCTTGTAGGCACAGCATTTCTTCACCTCTGGCCGTTTTGTCGAAGCAGAATAGCGCAAGATCATCTAAACAAGCTTCCTCTACATGTGGGAGAAGATCTACGCTGATGGCTCTTTGCCTCATGACTCGCTTTATTTGATCAAAACATCTATCTTTTAGTTGCATTCCTTTATCTTCGTGATAAGCATATCTGTAGAGGCAAGGTAGTATAAGAGGTCCGTTGTTTGTATCGTAAGGATTCTTGTTCTCCCAGTCTTTACTAGCATGGCACAATCTAGTGGCATCTTCGCGGCAAGATCTGTAGAGCTGAGGATCCAATTTGAAATCCCTTGCAACGAAATATTGGATTTGGATTAAAGCGTCTTCGCATTCCTCAGTCATATGATCAGCTCCAATGTTATCCATCAAGCAGGACATTACACGCGCATCTCCACCTCGTACTCCTCTGCAAGCAGCTTGCACGACTGGATTACAAGCTTCATGAAGAACTGGATCCACTCTCCAATCTTCACCAATATCAGTTTCTTTGACCAAAGTTTCCAGCTAAAAATATATTATTTATTTCCCTATTATAATAATACCAATTATAAACTTACAGCTCTTTGGCAAACATCACCAATTCTATTTTTACTGTTCTTCAATCTAGCATGGTCCATTAAACAATGAATTGTTTTACCACCAACTTCTGCATCTGCGCAATACTTTTTAATTTCATTAGCACAACCATCAACAATCTCTGGAGACAGTCTGAAGTCTTCCATCAAAATTTTCCTGTGGTCAGCTAACTCTATTTCACAGTCAGGATCAATTTTTGTGCCATTTCTAACAACATTCTCTAAACACAATAATACTTGAGCTAATCTAATAGACTTATCATCAGATGTTTGTCTTCTGCAATGAGATTTCTTGATGTCATCTTTGCAACTCTTCATCAGGCCTTTGCTAATTCTGTAATCTTGTGAAATAAGTTTCTGTCTTCTCACTATATGAATCTGACATTGTTCAGACAGTTTATCAATTTTATATTGTAGCAAGCAGTTGAAGACCCTTCCACTTCCTGGAGCAAATTGTCTGCAATATCTCATCTGATCCTCAGCACAGGCCATATACAACTGCCTGTCCAATTTTATGCTATCAGCTTGAATCTCAGATAGTTTTAAAACCTCCTTCTTACATTCTTCCTCAATTTCTGAGAACTTGTTCTGCAGGCACACTATAGTTTCTGATTGTGATAATCTGTCATGGTCAATTCTTCCACATTGATGGACTTTAATAGCCTTATCACAATGGTTTAAGAAATTGGCAATCCACCGGTAATCATAAAAGGCAACATTTTCTAGCCTGATGACTGCTTGAACACAGTCACTACTCTTTATGTCTGCCCTGTTATTAACAATGCACTTGAGATATAACCCACTGGATTCCACTTGGCAATTCATCTGGTCCAATTCTGATTTACATGAGGGTAACAGGAAATCCCTAACATTATCATCCTTAATAATGTTCCTGGTATGTTCCCAAACAACATGTTGACAATTGTCATTGAGCTTGGCTAATACATTTGGATTGAGCGACTGCAGGCATTCCAATACCAGAATATCCTCGTTCTCACTTAAATCAGGGCAAAGTCTTTTTACTTCTGCACATTGTGAGTCATCGACAATGCTTGAGTGTACTTCCCTTCTATCTCTAATCAAAGACTTGTCCCAGGAAGCCAAATGCTCAGAGGCCTTGGCACTGAGCATTAAAATTGATAACAGCAAGAAAGGGATTTGTACTTCAACCATTGTGTTATTTACTTGCATTCACTTCAATGTGCTGAAATAGAATATTAACCGCGCTGCACGGATAACGTCATCAATATAAATCTTATCTTCACACTTTTATTAACAATAATTTAAAATAAATATTAACATTAGCACCGCAACAAACGTAAAATGTATGTTAAAATAAGGCAATGTTGCCACGTCGATCATATCATTAAAATCTTGTAGTTGCTGATTATGCAAGTTTACTGCAGCTGCAATAATTATAGGTTTTTCTATAATTATGCAATGGAATTAGCAAAATTGGATAGCCTCTTGATATTTATGCTTTATTTAAAAACTATTCAAGTTCATTTTACGAAGAGTTTAGTACTATTAAAACAAATCAATTGATAAAATTATCTAAGAATATATGGTTATAGTTTATTTATGTATCCATTTTACATTAAAACCTAGTATCCAAAAACTACTGAATACATATCCTGGTGTCATAGAAATTTTAAAATACTACCATATTATATAGAATTTGTATTTATGAATGACTCATATATTTAAAGTTTGTTTATAAATTCGTTATTCATGTTTTTCTATGATTAATTATTATTTATTATGTTTATTCTACCATTATGTCTAAACGTTAAAAAATTGCAATTGTTCAAGTACCCTCCCAAATATATGCTACTGACAACATCAGTTTGAAACTTGTCCTCAACGAAGACTGATGGCAACGTTGTATATACAAGGCTATATCTGTTAAGTTGGTTTTATAACTTCCACTTTTGGTATGTAAATCATTTCATTATCACTTTTTGAAATATTTTTGCTAAAAATATTTTATAAAATTCTGCTTATATATCTTATAGAATAACTGTTCACATGAGAAATAATATTAAGTTTCATATTTAAATTTAAAGGTTATGTATAATTCATCATGTAAACACATACCTTTCCTATGATATCATTGTTTATATTTAAATGGATTTAATGAGACATTTGTGTATTGTTTCTAGGAAAAACCATTCCAATGAATTTCCCACATTGTCTGCCTCTGGCAGAACTAGAGGAGTGTGATCAATCATGTATTGAATTGCCAGAAGCATTTAAACTGAATTGCTCATATTTGGACCATTTGCCAGTGCTTGAAAGCAAAATTCCATACAATTATTTTTTCCATGAATACATGTTGAAGAATCAAGCTTGCTTAATAAGGAATGTGTCTAGCAAATGGGAGTCACAGAGGTTTTGGATAAAGGATGCTGATAATTTAGATTTCAACTATTTGAAATCAAAGTATGGATCATTGGATGTAACTGTGTATGACTGCAACAAAAAGTATTACAATTCCCAAGAAGCAAATCAAATGAAATTCAGTAAATATTTGGAACATTGGGAATCATTCAAGAAGAGTGGATACTCAGATGATCTTCCTTTACTTTACCTGAAGGATTGGCATCTCAAAAATCAATTGAAAGATGATAAATTCTACATAGTTCCCAAATATTTTGCTTCTGATTGGTTGAATGAGTATTTAGTTGAAAACAACAAAGATGATTATAGATTTGTTTACATGGGTCCCAAATCAACTTGGTAACAGTTTATTGGTTATTACTAGAATCAAATTTATTGTTTAATTACAGGACCCAATTCCATGCAGATGTGTTCAACTCATACAGTTGGTCAACAAATATATTTGGTCAGAAAAAGTGGATTATATTCCCTCCAGGAGAGGAGAAAAAGTTGAAGGATAAAATTGGAAATTTACCATACAGACTGGAAACCATTCCAGAATCTGTAAAATATCTGGAAGTAATACAGAATCCAGGTGATGCTATATTTGTGCCTTCTGGATGGCATCATCAAGTTACCAATTTGACAGATACAATTTCGGTTAATCATAATTGGGTAAATGGGTGCAATATTAAACTGATGTGGTTGGAGTTTGTGGAAACATTGAAGAATGTTAAAAAGGAAATTGACGATTGCAAAAGTATGGAGAATTTCCATGCACAGTGTCAGGTTTTATTGAAATCTACTTTTGGGTTAGATTTTAAAGACTTCTTTGATTTTCTAAAGTATATTTGTTCGAAGCGACTGCAGAAAACTGATAACCATTCCATATTTGATTTGCAAAGAATCAAAGAAATTTTGCTTTTATTCTCTGCTCACGAGGACGTCGATGTTTTGGAATTGAGGTCGAACATTTTGTTGTTGTTAAACGAAATTACAATTTAGATTTGTGCGTCTTTATGATGCCTTTCTTACACAAATTCCAGATATTCTCTTCTGAATATCCCAAGTCTTTCAAAACATCGATCGAATCTTCTCCACATTGCGGACTTTTCTTGAAAGCCGTCGTTTTTGCTGGAGTCCTGCTTAGCTTTACTCCTGGTTTAGGAATGACGGTTGTTTCATCTTTCATGAAATTGCATTTGGTGTGCTTATGTTCAGTTGCTTCTTCTGCAGTTAGCACCGGGAATACACAGGCATCTTTCTCATCGAATATTTTAGACCATTCGTCTCTTGTTTTCGTTAGGAATATCTTCGTTAAAACTTCTTTTCCGTTCTTAAAGTCGAAATAGTCTAGTTCTTCCAATTCTAAACCGTCTAACAACTCTTTGTAGAATTGCATTTCCAACGGGCCTACTGTTACATATTTTCCATCTTTGGTCTCGTAGACTTCGTAAAAATGTGCCCCTGAATCCAATACGTTTTCACCCGGTTTGTTACCCCAAATCGGTAACTTTTGAGATCTGAGTAACCAACTACCCAAGTAAGAACTGCCTTCGACCATGTTGCAATCGACGATTTGTCCTAAACCTGAGTTTGTCCTTTCGTACAACGCCATAAGGATTCCCATTGCGCACATCAATCCGCCTCCGCCGAAATCGGCTGCTAAATTTGCTGGAAACATAGGCTTCTCATTAACTCTACTAAACATTGACAGAAGGCCACTGAGACCAATATAGTTTATATCATGGCCTGCTCTCTTGCTGTAAGGACCATCTTGTCCAAAACCTGTTAACCGGGCATAAATCAACTTTGGGTTATTTTCCAATAAAATCTTAGGACCAATTCCAAGATTCTCCATAACTCCAGCACGGAATGGTTCTATTAGCACATCATACTCCTTGGATAATTGTTTGATAATGTCTATACCTTCAGGAGATTTTAAATTCACAGCTAGAGATTGCTTACCATTGGACAACACATCTAAATTAGTGTTGTTATTAACCTGTATTACATGAAAACAATGTATTTACAATTTCTTATTACAATTTATTTAATATATTTTTTTAACATATTATAATTACCTTATCGATCCTTAAGACGCTTGCACCAAAATCGGCCAAGATCATTCCGCAGAATGGGCCTGGTGCAAGACCAGCGAATTCGAGAACTTTGATGCCTTTCAGAGCCATCTCTAAAATGTACTTTGAGACCAGAGACTGCCAGAGACGATAAACAATCAAATGACTTACCACTTTTCTATTAAAAAAAAAACTGTATCAAGGTCTTTACGACGGTATTATCAGTAATGCAATAAATGCAATACAATTCAAAATTATATTAATATTAATGTGTCAACATATTGATAAAGTTTTTTATTATATATATATTCGGGTATCTTCGAATGTATTTTATAGATAAAATCTTAAAAACAAGCATTATGTAACTTTATGTTCAGCGTGTGCGGCGTGTTGCAAACGTATACCTATTAGTAATTAATTTATATAATAGTTTGTATTTACTAGTGGAAATTATGTATATTTTTGATGTAATTTTATTATGTTAACTATATATATTAATATATTGAATATTGATATAACATACGTGTTGAACATGCTTTAATTGAAGTAGAATATTACATAATCTATATTAAATGATAAAACTTTATGTAATTCGTATGAGTTTCAACTGAGTTTAAGAATCAACAAATGCCCATTTGATCAAAATAAAGTATATAATTACTAATTGTAATTATTGTAGTTCAAATCTTGAAAAATTTGGTACTGAACAAATATATAAATGCTTTTGAATTTTTAGTCTATAAAATATAACTTTAATTGTAAATATTCTTAATGAACAAAATCTGTAAATGTAATAGATTAAAAATAAATATTGAATGAAATTCGAGGGGGTGGGGATCACGTAGAAATAAGAAATTGAAAATAGTTGAAACATATAATTTTATATTTTGCTTTATAATTAATAACACTATAATTATTTGTTGCATCAGTCGTACAAAAAAAAACATATACAGAAATAAAAAGAACAAAATAAATATATATAATTTCAAAAAAGATAACTGATACAAAGGTGAAACTAATTATTTGTACTCCGTGGTTAAAGTTATCTATAAATATTAATTAATTGCGCGGAAACCAATTATGATTTGTATTTGTAATAAATGTCTATTATTGCTTTAGTTTACGTGTATGTCTTGATAATGCCATTACTATTGAAATCTCTTATTTTATCTTCCGAATATCCTAAACCTTTTAAAATTTCAAAACTGTCTTGTCCGACGCGAGGTCTTTTTTTAAGCGCCTGAGTTTCCCCCGGTGTCCTACTCAATTTGACTCCGGGTTTTGGTATAACTATACCATTGTCCTTCTTCACAAACTTGTCTCTATTGCCCTCAAAATCTGCGACCTCGTCAATGCCTAATACTGGAGAAGCGCAGGCGTCGGTCTGCGCGAAGATGTCGTTCCACTCGTCCCTGGTCTTCTCCAGAAACTTCTTCTTGAAAACGTCTTTTCCCTTTTTAAAATCGAAGTAGTCCACATCTTCAACTTCTAAGGTCTTCAATAGTTGTTCGTAGAAATGCGGTTCTATCGCTCCAACTGTAAGATACTTGCCGTCTTTGGTTTCGTAAACATCGTAGAAATGGGCACCCGAGTCTAACAAGTTCTCACCCCGTTTGTTTTCCCAGATCGGCAATTCCTGCGACCTGAACAGCCAACTACCCAAGTACGATGCGCCCTCGGCCATGCTGCAATCTACGATTTGTCCTAAACCAGAGTTCGCCCTTTCGAACAGGGCTAAAAGTATTCCCGTGGCGCACATCAATCCGCCACCACCAAAACCGGCAACTAAATTGACAGGAAAGGTGGGCTTCTCCTCGGCCCTTCCGAACATTGACAACAGTCCACTTAGACCGAGATAGTTTATGTCCTGTCCTCCTCGTTTACAGTAAAGCCCTTCTTGTCCAAAGCCTGTTAGGCGGGCGTAAATCAGCTTTCGATTTTCTTCTAACAAAACGCTCGGACCCAGACCCAGTTTCTCCATCACACCTGGTCGAAAAGGTTCCAACAGTACATCGTGTTTCTTTGCCAATGATTTAATTATATCCTTCCCTTCAGAAGTTTTTAAATTCACAGCGAGAGATTTTTTACCATTTGCTAATACATCAATATCCAGATCGGAGCTATTTTGTACCTAAAAATATAGTATCATTCAGCATCTCTCAATTAATTTTTCTTTATTATTTTTTTTTTGCAATTATTATAAATTGTCAATTCACGTTTATGAAGAGTTCAATTACGATGTTTAATTATTAAAATTTACCTTATCAATTCTTAAAACTGTCGCACCGAAATCTGACAGGATCATTCCGCAGAAAGGTGCAGGAGCTACTCCTGCGAATTCAAGTACCTTAACACCTTTCAAAGCCATTTCTTCAATATCTACACTCTAATACTACTCTGTTGTTAGTGACTTTAAAAACCATATCTTTTGTATTATATTGTAAAAAATCGAATGCTCTCGTTTCAAGTTCATTCCGCTGATACTTGCTCACTTCGATTTTATTGTAATTTTGATCTTCGAGTTCATGGGAAATCAAGGATATTTAATTTTTCATTATTTAAATTTTATTTTTTTCAATGTTAATAAATCGGATGTACATGTCCATACAATATAATATTTTAACAATATTTTGTAATAAAGTATGAGTTATTTAAATGAATTATATTGATACAAACGTGTTAATAACGTATTATACTGAAACCCAGTTCACTGTGATGACTTTATATCTATATTTTAATAGTGTTTTAAAGGGAACAGGAAAATCAATGGATCTTCCTGTTTTGCTGGAAATTCTGAGAATGAATTCTATTAATATTAATGACTTTTTGTTGAATACTTTAAAATATTAATATTATCAATCAATAATAAAGTTAATAGTATTATATTTTTTAACTTTTTTTTATATTAATTATTATATTTCAATATTTGAATAACTTACCTCTCTTAAATATATGAAAAATAATATCTGAAAATACATGAAAGTTTTTATTAAATTTACATCTATTATAAACAGTGGTGGATTAAGGATAGTTGAGGTTCATAAGCAAATACTATAGGAAAATGTCTTGATTTTGGTACATGCCTTAATGGATTGGATCAGGGAAATGAAAGTAAAAACAAAAAGAAAATCTCGAAGTGAAGACGAAACAAAACAATAACAATAAAATCACACACAACAGATCCTTTGAATTTTTTATTTAATCGTTTTTCAATATTTATAATACTTTTTCACTAATAAAAAAACGTTCCTCAACCCTTAAAACTCATAAACGTTACGGGACTTATCAATTAGATAATGTTTTCTTCGCATTATTTATTAATTCATTATTATTTATTTATTTTATGTTTTTTTTTTTGTAAATTTTATCAATTTTTTTTGCATGTTTTTTTTGTTGTTGTTTGTTTGTTGTTTCTCTTATACTTTTCGTGTGAGTGTACGCTTTGTTTGTTTGTTTTTTTATACATTTTTTTTCTCTTTATTTATTATTAATTCCTGCACCATAACTTAAGTTCTATACACACCACACCGTTTCCTCAACAAAAATATGTTCACTTTCGATGGAAGGACAAACATAGGCTGACAAAAAGAACATAATGAATACTCTAAAAGTACAATACAATTGTGACAGGTCATATAACCATTATAAAAAAAAGTTACACTTCCAACGAGGTCTAAGTCTAACAAATATCTGACTCACTATCAACGTTATTTAATCGTCATCCCTCATCATTATTAATATTAATAAATTTATTTGTATCTTCTTCTTCTTCTGGTATATATTTACTTTAATCATTGGTGTTTTGACAGTGAAATAGAATTTCTTCTTTTTTTTTATACTTTCTTCATCTTTATTGTTTTCGAATCATTACAGCTCAGTTAGTTTTACGCTTGGTGTTTCGGTTCTTGTTTATTTTTTTCACTTTAGGTAGCTTTATGTGTTTTTTTTGTCGCGTTCGTAGGCCCTACTTATATAGGAACTATTGTAATAACAATTGAAATTGAACTGAATGAAAAAAAAAAAGTGTTCAGAAATAGTCGAAAACAATATTTGAACTGTGATAATTCGACGAAACGCTTGTACATATATATTCTCCTATTATTATTATTTTTTTTGTTGTTTTTCCTTTACTTTTCGTCCTTAAAAACTAGCCGAAATAATAGTGATTAACGACGGTACATTTATTTACAAACTGAAGAGGAACGGAAAGACACAACGTAAAATACAGTTACATTATTAATATTATCTTTTTTTCATCTTTTTACACCACAGAAATAGAAACTTAAAGTCGAATCAATATCCTTAAGTTTCTTAAACTAATAATCTATTTTCTTGTTTTGTTTTCAAATACAATATATATACATTAATTAACAACATTTTTTTTTTCATAGTCATTATTTTTTTTTTTATGTTTTATGAAAATCAAGGACAGAACTGAGACTTCGACGAATTCGCTTTTAAGCTTCCTAAAGTTACTTTACTTGTTTACTTGTCTAGTTTGTGAATTACGCACAAACTTGTGCATTTCATTCGCTCACCTCTCTGTGAGAAAGTGTACGATTCACGTTTTTGTATTTACCTCCATACAAAAAAACCGAACTAAAAATATATCTATCTGAATTTAACAACAACAACGCTAGCACTAGCAACAATAAGTATTTTCATATATATATTTATTTTTGTTTTATGTAACATTAACAACAATACAACAATGCAAAGCGGAGCATTATCATTTTACGGTTACAAAATTTGTATCGATTTATTTATTAATATTATATATATTTTTTTTTAAATTATTTATTTATATATCATTTTTTTTTTCGATCTACAAAAAAAATCTACCGGAGAATCCCAGGCCTTTCATGTATTTTCATTTTCTTCACTCGTTTTTTTTTTTTTTAATTTTTCAATCATCATTCATCTACAGAACTGAAAAATATCGGAAATTAAACGCAAACTCGTATAAAACACACACATTTATCTTACAACTAATGTTGCTTCATCTTTGTTCTTCCTCTTCATTATCATTATTATTTGTTTAATTTAAGTTACCTTTGGCGGAAAGTTCTTTCTTTATTTATTTTTTTTTTGCATTGTTGAAGGCATTATTTATTATTATTATTTTCATTTCACTTAAAAAACTTTATATATCATATACATATTAATTAATTAGTACAATTATTGAGCCTTTTGTAATCATCCTTTACATTTTCACAGCATCTCCTTTTATTTTTTTTTTGTAAAGTAACAAAGATCATAAGATACTTGCGCCTCTCGTCGCGTGAGACTTTTTACATCTTACAAAAAATGTGTGGTTAGTTTCTTTGTGGTGCTTGCTTGCGGTGAGGATTACTTTTTTTTTTAAACTTTAATTTCTGCCTACTTTTCAATGTTTCAAATGTACTCCATTTTCCTTGTTTCCACCCACTCCTTGCATCGTAACTTAAAGCTATACACAACAACGAAGAAAATAGAAGAAAACAAAATGTATACTTAATGGCGAGGTCACGTCTTGGTTTGTTTTTTGTTTTATTTTCTCAAGCGGAATATGATGTTGGCTTTTCACGCCCGAATCGATTCCCGGGTATTATATAAATAGTTCGGCCAATTTATACCGCGTTTCATTTAAATCTGGCATTCATTATTGCAAGTCAATAATAATGTATATTCCATTATTTAATGAACGCGGAGAGGAATAAAAATAAATAAATATATAAATAAAATGTGAAAAATCCATTAAAACCGTTCTGAAATGAAATTGAATTGTGGGATAATATGATGAATTTATTGTATATATTCGATGGGGAACGGATTTGGGCTTTGGCTTCGGAAATAATTAGATTCCCCAATTAAAATTGATTAAATCTGACACTGGAGCGGGAGAACTCGAACAAACTTTAACTCTGCATCGGATTGATTCCGAGTCCAAGTTGACTTGAAATGTCTCTATTCAATTAGATTACAAACGAAATGGAATGCATACATTGATTTTCGATCAATCATTGTATTGCCCTTAATTAGTAAATCAAATTATACTAACCGATAAATTATTTTGCTTGCCTTCAAGTTATTACAATTCTCATTCAACCTATATTTCTTACAGGTATCATCATTGCTGAAACATGTAAGTAATTAACTCTTCCTCCAACTATAAAACAAACATGAAACAACAGTACAAATATATAGGCGTTAATAATGTAATTTCAGTTAAATTTCAGTTGGTTACGTGAGATGATTACAGCTATAGATTCAATATTTTCCCTTTTTTTTATTAATCCCATAGTTAAAGTCAATAATCATTACACATAACCAAAATACTAACTTACAGTATAAAATAATAATTATACCACTTCAGATTATTTTGAACTACATGCATTATTGTTGTAAGTCACAAATTTCGGCAAGTGACTTATAACTCAGATTTAACATATTTTTCAAAATTTTGAAGTTTAAATTGATTATTCAGTGATGTTATTTAGACGAAGGTAGCAAAATAATAATAAAGAAAAAAGGATAGAAATAAATACATAATATATCTTTTATTGAATGCGTTTCGGTTTCGTCATTTGAATGTGGTTGTTGTAAGTCGCATATGACTTCCAATTCAGATTAATTACAGAGATGTCATTGAACACGTCAAAATCTAATTTAATAATTGTATAATTTCAGTAGATCAACGAAATGTAATATGAACTAAATTCATCAGCTAGAAAATTTGGTGACGTGGCACGTGATCTGAAAATAGTTATGTCAAAGCTCAATTCAGTCTACACAAAAATACAATTTAAAAAACTACTTACAATTTAATCTACAAATAGTAAAAAGTAATTCCAATTCCAACATTATTTAATTAACTGAAAGTTTATTTTGTCTTCTTGAATTTAGTTCTTAGTTGTAAGTCGAATCATTCGGCAAGTGACTAACAATTAAGAGTATTTAAGAAAATTTTAGAACTCAAAGTTTAGAAATAATTACTATTTACAGATCTTAGCCAATATATTATTATGAAAAAGTTTGTTCGAAGTTATCCATTTCCAAATTTAAATAAACACATTTTTTTTTTGTTATAAGTAAATTAGCTAAAATGTTAATGGATGAAAGTGATTAGATGTGATAAATTCGTTTGTGCTCTGTGTAATTAAGGTATTGAAACTGAGAAGTAAACAAATAAAAGTAGAGATAGAGTAGAATTTCTTAAGATTTATTCACCTACTTATTCGCAGCGAAGTGGACTTTGCATCGCGTTTTTTTTTGTGTGTTGATATTTCTTCTCCATTTCTTTCCCCCCTTTATTACGGTATACAGTTCCATGCAACATTTAACATTTTGTCGACGTGCAAGCTGTTTGGCAGTGTTCGAATACTATTAGTTTTACA